CACTATGAAAAAAAAAGTTTAAAAAGTCCAATCCAATCCAATTCATTTTAGTTTCCAAAGTGCTGCACAGACAAATTAATACAATAAAATGCAGTAAATCATAAATAAAAAGCTGAAAATGATTTATGAATATTAGCCAATACTGCAATATTAATAATTTCATGATATTGTGTTGTCCTAAAATGCTTTATATCTTTTGAAACAGAATAGTATTGTTTTGTTGTAGTGAAATTGCACATGCGGTACTCCCAGTGGTCCTTTAACTGGAGTCAGACCTGTTAAAGTTTACAACCTGTTGTAAAGTGTTGAAGGAGGACAGTTAAAAGGTGCTGTCTATATTTAGGAATTACAAGAGACTTCATGTGTCACGAAGCCCTTCAAACGTGTGCAGAGGTGCATCGTGACCCACGGAGAACAGATTACAGGACACTCAAAAACACAGATAAATTGGATATAATATAATAGTAGTAATGAAATTAAACACTAAAATGCAAAATTTGGTGTGCAGAATATTGAAATATCGATATATTGTATCGTTTAATGTGATGATACAGTATCAGTGTCGTGGGCTGCTGTATCGATATATTGACAAGAATATTTTTAGGTATATTTTACTAAATTATTTTGTGTAAGAGCTATAATTGTTTTGACATTTTCACAGTTTTGAATGAAAATGGGCGTTTTTCATATTAACTTGCACAAACTTAGTGGATTTAGTGGACTTTTAGTATCACAGCCATGATTTAGTCTAGAGAAGAGAAGTGATGACAAAAAATACAAAATGTCTATGAATCGTGATCAAATTAAATTGTGAGTGAGATTCATTTTTTTGTTCACTCATCTCATTTTTGTGCTTGTTTAATTAATTGTTTTTGGAATACAGTGATCCCTCGTTATGTTCTAAAAATAACCCGCGATAGGTGATTTATTATAGGTTATTATATATATTTTAAGGCTGTAAAACTCCTCACCACACACCTTATACACTTTTCTCAGACAGACAGTTACAACCCTTTTTGCATCCTTCTTAAAACTTATTGTTGCTGTCGTCTTTATGTTATTTTCCTCCTTCTTTTATGTAACAAACCGAAGATTCATTTATTCCTTAATGGCGCCTACAGCCACATAACTTCTACCTTCCTTCAGCGTGTCCAGAAGTCCAAATTTTTGTGCGATGGTTTGCATCTTCCTCGGCCTTTTGGGTGCGACCGCAGGAGCCTTTGTCAGTGCAAAACGTTTCATCGACATTGTGGGTTTTGTCGGGGGAGAAAACTTGCAAACATACAGCACTTCAGAATCACACTGCTAGAGATCGAACATTTATGTAAATTTGGCAGCTGAACACATTCTGTACTGTGCAGGAGACACGTCACGGAGGAGACTGATTGACAATGGTCTACAACATGCGATTATACTCTGTAAAAAAAAAAAAAAAAATACACAAAACAGCGAGGGCGCAAAAGGTGAATAGCGAGGGATGACTGTATAATCTTTGCAGCTTCTGACTATTTTTCTATTATAAACAGTACTATCTATATTCTAGTTTTGCATGCCTTCAAAAAAAGAGACCTTGATATAATCTTAACTTTCATTTCTGGTATGTGGCCCTCAACACAATGTAAACACAGCTGAACTACTACACAATGCCAAATAAATTCTTTAGTACACACCTTGCATCTGTATTTATACAACAGCTTTGAGTAAATTAACACTTTAGTCTCACATCAAGGAACTCCCTGGTTAAATTTAAGGACAAATTAGGGCTTTTCTGTGTCGAGTTTGCATGTTATCTCTTATATATTTCCTTTGAGATAGGCAAATTGTAGTGCTAGACAAGTTACAAGCCAGATCTGTGGAGAAACAACCCCATTCACCGCAAGTAGACATGTTTTAAAGCAACAAAAACACTTGTAATTGAACGCAAAATCTTCCTGGAGACAAGCATAAAAAGTTACACTGTGCACTTTTAATAGAAGCACTTTCACACATTATATATATATGTGCTGTAACCATGACAACGCTATCAACCAGATTGAGAGCTTTCTTAAAACAACAGGGAAAGCCTAATATTTGTTTTACTCAAAAGCAGATACGATCTCTGTAGTCACTAAGATAATATTTGAACAAGCCCTGATACGTAAATGGAGTAGGAAAGCAATATTAAAAAAGGAAAAGGAAAAAAAACTCTCTCTCTCGTAACAGCTTTGCACATTTTTCTCAATGGACTGGCCAGTGCAGCCTGGTGGAGCAGCTCCTCCCTGTGGCGGGTCGGGGCGTTGCAGTGTCTGGGGTAAATGAGTGACCAGGATGTGAGTCTGTCGTCCCATTGTGTGTGAATGAACTTTGCGCCGCTGCACATTCCTCAAGGCGGGCGTCATGAATGGACAAGAAATCTTCTTTAGATCAGGGCTTCTCAAACTGCGGTACCAGGACCAGAGCAGATACTATTTTCCATTTTTCATAACTTCGTTTAGAGTTGTTGTTTTAGTTTAATTTCTTGTTATAGTTATTATTTATGAATAGAAATGTGCATTTTTAGGACCTAGTTTTTATTTTAACGTCTACTTTTATACATTAATTTGGATGTTATTTTTAGTTCTTTAGGTATTTACTGCACCAGGACCAGAGGAGATACTCAACGCTTTTGTAGTTTCTACAATTTCAGCTATTTTCCTATTTTCATTTCTTCATTTAGAGTTGTAGTTCAGCCTCATTTGGTCCTGTTTTAGTCCTGGTTTAGTCTTGGTTTAGTTCTGTTTTATTCCTTATTTCTATGTAGTTTAGTCTTGGTTTAGTCCGTGGTTTAATCCTGGTTTAGTTTGTGATTTAGTCTTGGTTTAGTCCTGGTTTATTCCTTGCTTACATGTAGTTTAATCCGTGATTTAGTCCTTAGTTTAGTCCTGGTTTAGTCTGTGATTTAGTCATCGTTTAGTTCTAGTTTTAGCATTGATTTTTTTTTTTTTTTATTTTGTCCTGGTTTAAATGTAATATTCTAATATCTATAGCCCAACTTTGTACAATTTCATACAAAAAAAACAAAAAAACAAAACATTATTTATTTTATCATGGTATGGGTGTTTCACATTATTGCACTAAAAGTCTCCTTATTGTGAGTGAGTGTGACTCTACATAGACCTGACTTGTAACGTTTCATTTGGAGGGCAGGTCTTGCTTGTCCTCATGGAGATGTTATTGCTTTGCCTGAAATGTTCCGCAATATTCCTTTATATCTCCATCGACTCAAGCAAGAAGCGTGTCAGCAACAAGAAATAATACGTACTGCTGCTTTAACGTTTTTGTCCCCTGGTTTCGTTTTGTTTTGTGATTTTAATCTCTTTGGAATCTATTTGGAATTACTTTGTGTATAAACCTGCCTTAGATATGACTTTTATGCTTTAGTCCTGGTTTAATCCTGGTTTTGTCCTGGTTTACATTTGGTCCTGGTATGACACTATGATGTCGATTTATTTTGGTCCTCTTCTAGCCTTGGCTTAGTTCAGGTTTAGTTTAGTCCTGGTTTTAATGTGTTATGACTGGAAGCATAACTCGAGCCTTTGTTTAGATCAGTTAAGTGAGTCTGATCTGATAGTCTTGGTTCAGTCCTGGTTTAGTTCTAGTTTGGTCCTGGTTTAGTCCTGGTTTAAATGTTAGTATTATCTTAGACTTGACCTAGACCTGGTTCAGTCTTTCTTTAGTCCTGGTTTAGTTCAGGTTTAGTTTCTTTCATTAGGTTTTGTGGTCACTCGTCTGGATTTGGTCCTGATATGACCCTAGTTTTGTTATGATGTTGATCTGTGTTGGCCCTCTTCTGAACCTGGTTTAGTTCAGGTTTAGTTTCGGTTCAATCTTGGCTTAGTCCTGGCTTCCTTGTAGTTTATCCTTGGCTTAGACCTGGTTTAGACCTGGTTTAGTCCTGGTTTAGTCCTAGCTTAGTCCTGGTTCAGTCAGTGGTTTAGTGCTTCTTTAGGCCTGGTTTATTCCTTGGTTTCATGTAGTTTAGTCCTGGTTTAGTCTGTGATTTAGTCCTGGTGTAGTCTGTGATTTAGTCCTGGTTTAGTCCTGGTGTAGTCTGTGATTTAGTCCTGGTGTAGTCTGTGATTTAGTCCTGGTTTAGTCCTGGTGTAGTCTGTGATTTAGTCCTGGTTTAGTCCTGGTGTAGTCTGTGATTTAGTCCTGGTTAGTCCTGTGTATGTAGTCCTGGTTTAGTCCTGGTGTAGTCTGTGGTTTAGTCCTGCTTTAGTCCTGGTTTAGTCCTGGTTTAGTCCTGGTGTAGGCTAGTGGTTTAGTCCTGTGATTTAGTCCTGGTTTAGTCCTGGTGTAGGCTGTGATTTAGCCCTGGTTTAGTCCTAGTGTAGTCTGTGGTTTAGTCCTGCTTTAGTCCTGGTTTAGTCCTGGTGTAGTCTGTGATTTAGTCCTGGTTTAGTCCTGGTGTAGTCTGTGGTTTAGTCCTGCTTTAGTCCTGGTTTAGTCCTGGTGTAGGCTGTGGTTTAGTCCTGCTTTAGTCCTGTTTAGTCCTGGTGTAGTCTGTGATTTAGTCCTGGTGTAGTCTGTGGTTTAGTCCTGGTGTAGTCTGTGATTTAGTCCTGGTGTAGTCTGTGATTTAGTCCTGGTTTAGTCCTGGTGTAGTCTGTGATTTAGTCCTGGTTTAGTCCTGGTGTAGTCTGTGATTTAGTCCTGCTTTAGTCCTGGTTTAGTCCTGGTGTAGGCTGTGGTTTAGTCCTGCTTTAGTCCTGGTTTAGTCCTGGTGTAGGCTGTGATTTAGTCATGGTTTAGTTCTTGTTAAGTCCTAGTTTAGATTCCACAGTCCTTGCTTCAGACCTGACCCAGACCTGGTTCAATCTTTCTTAAGTCCAGGTTTAGTCCATTTCTCCTGACCTCATTAAACTCTAATTAAACCTTGACATCATTTCTGTATCTCTCCAAGTGTTCCCATGCATTTTGCTTATGGACATGTCTCAGCGTTAATCTAATCTCCTGTTTTTTATTTTGTTTTTCCACAGTTACAATGGTCCTTTTTCTGGTGGCGGCCACAATAACATCCAATAACTCCAGCAATGGAAACAATACACAAGGTAAGAGCCCGGGACATGTGAGTCTGAGACACACTCCTCTATTTGTGTCCATACAAAACTCCTATTGCTCACAGACACCAGTCATCACTTCTTCCAATAGTTCACATGGCATCACAACAAACTAGAATCCAAAGAGTTTAAAATGGAGCTGGAGGAAGGTCAGGAAGGAGTCGAAGGTAGAACTTGTTGTTTAAAGGTCTTGACTCTTGTGAGCTTTAAGACGTGTTATAATGTTGTTACCTCGTCAAAAACAAACCAGGAGTTGTGTTTTGTTTCATTCACACATGTTCGAGTACCGTATTTTCTGGACTATAAGTCGCTCCGGAGTATAAGTCGCACCAGCCAAAAAATGCGCAATGAACCAGGACTGAACCAGGAGGAAAATAGGTCTAAACCAGATCTAAACCAGATCTAAACCAGGTCTAAACCAGGACTAAACCAGAACTAAACCAGGACTAAACCATTACTAAACCAGGATGAAAATAGGACTAAACCAGGGCTAAACCAGGGCTAAACCAAGATGAAAATAGGACTAAACCAGAACTAAACCAGGACTACCCACTAGCCAAAAAATGCACAATGAAGAAGAAAAAAATATATCTAAAATCACTCTTTTTGGGGAAATGTGTTTTATAAAATCAGAGACCAGGAACCAACATTTCATCTTCATCTTCATTTTCACAGACTGAACAGACATTAATATGTTAACATAACATATTAACAGTTATTCAAATAATTATAACATAAACAACAGAACAGAACAAGTTTACCAAACTCTCCATCTCACTCCAAATCACTAAATCCACTGAATTCTTCATCCTCAGTGCCACTTCTGCGTGACCTCCGGAGATAAACCATAGATCCACAATGTAAACGGCGCGCCACTTCCTCTTCTGTGTAGCAGTCGTCAGACTCAGCATCAGTTCAAGTTAGAATTATTCCGGCCTTTCTGAATCCCGACAGGATGGTTTCAGTTGTCATTTAAGTCCAGGCTTTGTCGATTCATCCAGTGACTTCCAGGAAATTTACTTGGTGCACTCGCCTGGTTGCCATGAAGCCGTGTTCTCTATTCCTGCTTTCTGCCAGTCCCTCACAAGTTTCTCACTCACTCCAAACTTTCTTTCTGCTGCTCGATTACCGTTTTCGGCTGAATATTTCACTATTTGCAGCAGGACAGCGGCTCTTTCTGCAGGAGACATGCGCAGTAGAGTGAAGTGACAGAGGTACAGGAGTAATAGTAGTAACAAATACTGACACACAAGCCTAGAGCCTCTCGTGGCTGTCAGTGTGAAAATTTTAATGTATAAGTCGCACCGGAGTATAAGTCGCAGAAAACACCCAAATCATTAAAAAAGTGTGACTTATAGTCCAAAAAATACGGTAGTTTACAATGAAGCTGGAGGAAGGACAGGAAGGAATCTCTGGTAGAATTTGCTGTTGTCAAGGTCCAATTTTACTCGAAACTGACTCTTGTGAGCTTTAAGACATGTTATAATGCTGTTACCTCATCAAAAACAAACCTGGAGTTGTTTTGTTTCATTCACACACGTTTGCGTAATCCTTTACTATTAGTCTGTCTGTCGCCAAAACTCAAAATGCTTTGTTCCACCTTGTCATGTCATGAAGCGATATTTTCAAGTTAACATCTACCTTTTACCTTTTGTTCAGCAGAGACAGAAAATTCCAGAGCTGAAGTTATCCAAATGATTAAGATTAAGATCAACTTTAATGTCCCAAAGGAGAAATTCATCTCAGGCTCACTGCTCGAAACTTAAAAACACAGTTACTGAAGATGAAGGTGTATGGAGTTTAAAAACACAATGGAGCACTTCCTGTATTACCACATGACATGACAAGGTGGAAGAGAACTGCAGAGACTTGCGTGTTAAACATGTGTGAATGAAACAAAACAAAACACAATTCCAGATTTGTTTCTCATGAGAAAACAACAGAGACAGTGAAACAGAGGTGGAACCAAGTCGTTGTTTTGCAAGTCTCAAGTCTTTGATCTCAAGTCCGAGTCAAGTCCCAAGTCAAATACAGGCAAGTCTAAGTCGAGTCTCAAGTCACTGGTCCATAAGTTCAAGTGAAGTCCAAGTCGTCTGCTTTGAGCTTCAAGTCATTTCAAGTCTTTAAACCAAAGTAGATTCGATTTTTGCAATTTATATGAATTTTAAACTAATTTGTACTTAATAAATCATAGTGTACTGTATTTTCCGAACTATTAGACGCGCTCTTAAGCCTCCAACCTCATCAGAAAACGACTGCGCACCCCACAATCTAGAGCGCCCTATACACGAATCCACTCGGGTGTCCCAGCACAACTTCAGTAAACTACAAACCACCCGCAGAACACGCAAACACACACGGAGCAGACAGCGAAACGGGAGGAACGAACCGAAAAAGCGAGTGCAATGTGCCACTTCTAGACACAACTGAACAACTGAGTCACTGCGAACACACCGGTTTATTTGTGAAAAAAGTTTGAAAATAGACCATTTAATGACAGTGTGCCTTATAACCCAGAGCGCCTAATAGAGTGGAAAATACTGTATTTATATATGAGTATTTATAGAGTATATAAGAGTTGTAGAAATGTACATTTTTCCTTTTTAAATGTTTTGACAAGATCTTAGTGTGAATCATTATGGTCAGAATAGAAAGAATTCAGATTTAAAAGTGTTTCTCAAGTCTTCTCAAATCACAGGCCTCAAGTCCAAGTCGACTCCCAAGTCTTAAGGGCCGTTCACACCAAAGCGTCAAAGCGTCCAGTTTCTATGTAAAGTCTATGTGGATGCACGACTAGAGCTTCTTGCGGCGCGTCTTCAGCATCAGCGCGGCGCGAATCTGGCGTCGACGCAGTGCATCTTGAGCGTTTTCGCGTCGACGCTCTAGATGCGTGTCCAAGGCGTCAGCATCAAGAAGTTGAAAATGCTGAACTTTTCGCGTCAGACGCGCCGCGTCAACCAATCAGGGACGAGTATCCAGAGACTCAGCGACGTTATTATCAGGAAGCAAGACCCGAGAACCAGAGTGAGAGCCACAAACGTGAGCGGAGCATGAATATATACGCCACAATTACTGAGCCGATCACGAGGACTACACCAGGACCGGACCAGGACCGGACCAGGACTAGACCGAGACTAGACCGAGACTAGACCGGGACTATACCGGGACTAGACCGGGACTAAACAAGGACTAGACCGGTATTAGACCAGGACTAGACCAGGACTGATCCAGTGTCATTAGCGGAGTATAAATATATATATACACCCCAGTCTTCGACCCGATCTCCTCTGCTGATGTTTTATGTCATAAAAACACTCTCTCAGTCTGGTCTGACATCGTTTCAGGAAAAGACCGGGACCGGGCTCTTGTTTCCAGGGCAACGGACGCGCGTCAAGTATTTTTGTCTCGTTCGTCCACGGCGTCAAAGACGCGCGTCGAGGGCGTCTAAACTCAAATGCAAAGGCGTCCAAATAGAGGCGTCAAGGCGTTTTTTGGCACTTTGGTGTGAACGGCCCTTTAGTCTATTTTATCAAGTCAAGTTTCAAGTCCTAAAAATAGTGACTCAAGTCTGACTCGAGTCCAAGTCAAGTCCCACCTCTGCTGTAAAACATTGTAATATGAGACCTTTGACACAGAAACACATACTGTTCCTTTAAAAACAAACATTATTTCATCTTAAATCTTTGCAAAACTTCAAATCAGACTTGTGCATAAACAGTATTGTAATATAGCAGTGCTGTAATTTTCACAGTATGTCTATAAAAATACGAAGGTTTCAAAATAAGTTTAAGCTACACCTAATCTACGCAAAATGTAAAGGGGGAAAAGTAGTGAGAAAAACCCTGAAACACACCTACAATCTCATATCCACACGGCTCTATTTTAAGAAATGGAAAAGGAAATCCTACCATTTAGCCCGAGTGAATGTGGGGCATAATCTGAGCTGGTGAAATGCCAACTCAGAGGCCTATATGTGTTTAGCTCTATTCAGTTTTTTCAATGCAGATCACTATCACTTAATTTTGCTATAATGAGACAAGAAACACTCAGTCGACCAAACATTAGTGTAACAATACACTATTATTTACTATGGGGTCACTGAGTTTACCAGATCCTACAGGTCCTATATTGTACATTATTCTAGCTGTTTAAGAAACTTTGGACACCTTCATACTAGAATTTTGGTAATTTAACTATTAATGTGTCTTGAAAATATCTCCAAGCCAGTAGAGGGCACAATGACTGGACCTTTAGGTACATTGAAAAGTAATGTTGTAGTACTCGAGACCATTTTTTTGCTGTCTTGGTTTTATTTGGGATTCGGCCGTGTTCGACCCCTTTTTAGCAAAATTTGAATAAAACAACAGATTTTGCCAAATAGGGTGTCAAACTTCATTCAGGCTAAACCAGGTCTGAACCAGGATGAAAATAGAACTAAACCAGGACTAAACCAGGATGAAAATAGGACTTAACTAGGACTAAACCAGGGCTAAATTAGGACTAAACTAGGACTAAACCAGGACTAAAACAGGACTAAACCAGGACTAAAACAGGACTAGGACTAAACCAGGATTTAAACCAGGACTAAACCAGGACTAAACTAGGACTAAACTAGGACTACCAGGACTAAACTGGGACTAAACAGGACTAAACCAGGATGAAAAATAGGACTAAACCAGGACTAAACCAGGATGAAAATAGGACTAAACCAGGACTAAAAAGGCTAAAAGGACTAAACCAGGACTAAACCAGGGCTAAATTAGGACTAAACCAGGACTAAACCAGGACTAAAAACCAGGACTAAACTTAAAATCAGGATGAAAAATAGGACTAAACCAGGACTAAAACAAAAACTAGGACTAACCAGGACTAAACCAGGATGAAAATAGGACTAAACCAGGACTAACTAACCAGGACTAAAATAGGACTAAACTAGGACTAAACCAGGACTAAAACAGGACTAAACCAGGACTGACTAAAACTGAAATAGGACTAAACCAGGACTAACAGGACTAAACCAGGACTAAAAAACTAAACCAGGATGAAAAATAAACCAGGTCTAAACCAGGACTAAACCAGGACTGAAAGGACTAAACCAGGACTAAACCAGGACTGAATCAGGACTAAACCAGGATGGAAACCAGGACCAAACCAGGACCAAACCAGGACCAAACCAGGACTAAACCAGGATGAAAATAGGACTAAACCAGGGCTTAGGATGAAAACTCAGGACTAAGGTCAAAATTGAACTTAATGGCCTAATGGGTTAAACCTCACAAGAGTCAATTTTGCGTAATATATGACCTTTAAAAGAGGTACTACAATCACAACCAAACTTGGATTGCCAATGCTTTAACCTGCAGACTGAGAACACATACACACTTTTGTCAAGACAGGCCATGACTCTGAGTTGGACTAGCACTCGTATCTAGGGACACATACTGTATATAGGTCAAGTTTATGAAATTTAAAATCAAAATCATACTCACAGCTCCTTTAACGGACAGCAGCACATCTTAAAATGCCGTGACAGAACTTAAAACACATAAAATAAACATAACCGCACACATTGTCCTTGTCTGGCAGCTTCTCCCTGGCCCTCCCTGGTCCTTGCCCTCGCGCTGGCGTTGCCTCCGCTCTTCCTGCTTCTGTTTCGCCCTCTGACCTTTGGGTTTGTGGTTCTTTTCCTCAGGACAGACCGCCTCCACGAGCCCTCACATCCTCCCCACGGTCCTGGTGCTGTCTCTGCTGCTGCTCATCATCGCTCTGCTCGCCTGGTACTGCCTCAGGTACAGAACATTCAACTATTCAACTATTTTAATGGAGATTTTTATTATTTGACACCGGTCTCTTGTGATTTTTAATGCTGCTTATTTAGAATTTATTATTGACGTTTATATTTGTGTTCTGATCTTTGTTATTATATTATATTGTGATGTGTGAGCGACTGTGCCCAAGTAATTTCCCTTGTGGATCAATGAAGTTTGTCAAAGTCTAAGAACAGAATACAGTTCAGATAGTAATAAAAGTGTGAACGCAATAAGAATACAAAGGCAAATACAAATTAAGATATTTATGAGAAATAATAATGATAAAAGAAAAAAAAAACAACTGAAAATATAAATTACATATACTGTATTTTTCAGATTACAAGGCGCAGTATCAATAATGTTGAATTCTCTCGTCTATTTTCATACATAAGGTGCACCGGATTATAAGGTGCATTAAGTGAAACAAGCAGACGACACTTGAGATTCTTAGCCTAGACGTCCACGATCCATTGACAGATCGTGGCGTAATTCACCCGGCATTGCCCCTCTGTCTTGGTGAATGTGGATTATGAATGTGAATGTGGGTGGATCATTTAAGTTGGTTTTTTTTATTTCCTACGAGGACGACTCAAATATACACTGGGTAATAATGTGTTTAATGCAGCTTTGCGCACATTTGTTTATGTTTTACAGAAACAAAACTTAAAACCACATGGCTCATTTGCATAAACTATAAGCGCTGAAAAAAAACAGGTCACTCCTTGCCGGTCTTGGCGGTCAGATTTAGCGGTCGCTGTAATGCTTCGATAATCCATCAAGCGGTGTGGCTTTGTACCTTACCAGAGATGTACTAAAACATTTTGACAGATTTTTGAGCGTCGTGTACCACATAAAATCAGCTTGAGGTCAGTAAACACAACCAGAAATAATACAATAAGGCACACTGTCGATTTTTGAGAAAATTTAAGGATTTTAAGTGCACCTTATAGTCCAAAAAATACGGTATATGTATCTGTATTATCTTGGTCCATATTACACTATTTTCTGATTATTTACTGTTATTTATTTTCTGTTTATTTATTTATTGTATGGTCCATAATACGCTATTTTATGTTATAATGTTGTTTCCTCATCAAAAACAGACTTGGAGTTGTGTTTTGTTTCATTAACAGATGTTTAACACACAGACTTTGCATATTTAAGCTGAGAAAACATTCTCTTCCAGCTTGTGATGTATTACAGGAAGTGCTCCATTGTGTTTTTTAACTCCATACACCTTCACCAAAACCATCTGGATCATTTCTGAACTGCAGTTGCCAATTTCTACTGAACTAAATGTAAAAATGTAGCTGTTAACTTGAAAACTACCACTTCATGACATCAGAATGTGGAGCTTGGAGCATTTTGAGCTCTTATTTTTTGCTCAAACATGATTGAATGAAATAAAACACAATTCCAGGTCTGTTTTTTGAGAAGGTAACAGCATTATAACATGTCTTAAAGCTCACAATAGTCAATTTTGCGTAACATAACACTTTTAATAGATGTAAGATAAATGATGTTACATAATGTGGCTTTACAATCCAACAGCTTCAATATCCACCTGTTCAAAAACTTACTGCTGTTGTTAAACACGGAGAAACAGTTGAGGAAATCTGCTGCAAGTCTTCTTTATAACGCCCAGACTTTCACTTCTTCGTCATATTGTGATTGAGGTTTTGGACCCGAGCCAGACTCAAGTGGGACGGGCCAAGGGTGAGAGCCGCTTCCTCCTTTAGTCAGTGTGGGCGGAGTCTGTCCAGGAAGCTCCTCCGGCTGACACCCTCCTCACATGAGTCTGTACATGCAAAGAGTACACACACAGACCCGACCACTCACGGCACGGAAATTATCCAACAAAAAAATCAACTAAAACATTTGGAGATAGGCGTTGTTTTCGGGAGTTTATAGCTAATGAAAAGAAGCACTTTTTCTAGTTTCAGATGGTATGGATTTTGAAATTTCACCTCTAATCTCAACATTTTTATCACATTTTTTTACTATTTATCTTTTATTTGGACAAATTCTGTATTTAATCATTTTGTATTTTTATTTTTCTTAGGTTAAAAAACCAGAGGAAAGCAGTCGTCACAACAGTTGACAAAAAGATCCCAAATGGCATATTGGAAGAACAAGGTAAGCGCTGATTATATTTGATTTAAACCACATTTTTATATCATTTAAAGTAAAAAAGTTATCATTTTAAAGCCGTAGTTAAGGCAGCTTGTTAGTGTATCTGAAAGGTGTTTTGAAATAGCAGAGGTGAGAATCGATTCTGTGGTTCAGACTAACTTCCTGTGTTATTTGAATAAAGTTTTATGTTCACCTACACACTGTATATAGACTCGTTAGCCTCTATATTTCTGGTGGTGGCAGCAGCAGCAGCAGGTCTAAAGTTTTGCTTTCAATCTCTTAATATTTCAACACCTCAGTTTAACCTTTGTCATTTTAATAGATAACCCCTTTTAGATTGGTTAAGTTACAGCTGAAATCTGCAATGTGTTTTGTAAAGTCTGAAACAGGCTCTAGTAACTAAACTGCATTTCATTTTTAGTAGAAATTTGTCATATTTTTAAGGATTTTTTTTTTTGTTGAGATATGAATACGAGACACTTTTACAGACAAAAATCATCTACATAGGCCTCCTTTCATTTGAAAACTGAGTAACACCACATATTAATAGTTAACTACGTGGTAATTGGTTTTCTAATTACCTGTTACTTAGCTGTTAGTTGGTATTAATTAAACACTTATTAATGCCTCTTAAGATTTCAATGTATGCACAAAAACATCTACTTTAATGGGAAGAAAATAGTTAATGGGTTAGTACACAAAATACAGGCTTAGACAAAAATGCATTGAAAGTACTTTATAAATACTAACAAAGATCTAATGAATTAAGCACTTATTATGCACTATTACTATTATTTACTATTAACTAGCTATTAATATGTGGCCCCTAAACTAAACTGTTACCGAAAACTGTTTATAATTAAGCCAAGACAGAATAAGAAAGACATTAAAGTCCTAGGGATGCACCAATACTGATACTTGTATTTAAAAAATTGCTTAATCAGGTTAGTTTCCTATGATATTTGTTGAGAAAATATCCTTGTTGAGTCTTTAATTTGACGTAATACGACTATTTATGGGCTGATTTTGGTTTAGAATGTCTCACAATGTTTGGACTTGTCTTCATACAAAGCGTTTCCGTAGTGATTTGAAGGATTAATAAATAAAACGGTTGCAAAACACAATTGGATCCATTCCTATCCCAGTATCTGTTAATATCAGATATTGGCAGATACTCAAAGTCGTAGTATCAGTATCGGTATCAGAATTGCAAAAGCTGGATCGGTGCCTGACATTACTGACAAAAACAAAATAATAAATTCCTCACTATGAGATAAAAACTGACTCAGTGAACCACACTTTTACCTTTTTGAATTGGCGATTGCGAGTGTGGCTTGGCTGAGGTCTTCTATTTCTTTATAGTTCCTACTTTAGACTCATTATGTGTATGTCTAAAATAAGAAAAAAAATCATTGTAACGATTATTTTGGTCAATATTGAAATCACGATTACTCAAACTATAATTTTTTAGTTACACGATGCATCTACTCAACATTTCTTTCTCAAAAAAACAAACAAAAAACACTTTGTTATTGATAATTTACGCAAAACTTGAAATTGAAAATAAATAAAGGCTGCAGAAATGAACCTTAGAGCAGTTTTGCAATGTATAAAACATAAAATTAATACTTTGAACATGAAATAAGGCATAGAGAAACATAAATGTATCCAAAATAAACTATATATCCAGCTGTTCTACAATCTCTATACTTAAAAATACAATAAATATACTTATTTTTCTAAAAAATATCCCAAAATAAACTTCTTTAAGCTTCAATTATATGAGTTTGGAGCTTGTTTGCCACATCAAAATTCAATTAATTGCCCAGCCATAGTCTAAAATGTACTCAAGTTGCTGAAAATAACTTAAACTTTAAACTTTATCGATCCACAATTGGAATTATTTGGACACAGCAGCTCAAACATCACAATATAACATAATAACAAATCTAAATGAGTCACAAAAATAACAGTAGACAGGTGTTAAATAAGGCAGAATTATGTAAATGTAAATGTACAAGTCAAAATAAAATGGATAAATGTAGTAATGCAAATAAATATAGGAGGAGAAACAGTGCAAAGATAAAATAATGACTTGCATAAGGTTGAGTGGTTGTTTGGATCGTGGTCCTGTATCTCTCGCTGTATCTCCTCTGTTTGGGCGAAGCTGTAGGAGCCTGTTGGAGCCTGTTGGAGAATGAGCTCCTCTATCCCTCTATAAAAACGACATAAACTGCTGCACCGCCCTGTATTTTTAAGGTTACAAATTGCATACGGCGTTGGATTACAATGACCAGTCTGAACCACTTCATTTTATGTTTTAATACTCAATTAAATGACACTTTCTTTGTCCCAGTAGGAAATATAACGGCACACAGTGTAGTAAAGTGCACGTTTACAGGTTGATGTTTTAGGTTCTTTAAACAAACCATTAATTGTGCCTGCCTAGTGCCTCCGCTCAATTTCATTTCTCTCCAGCGACTAGGTCAGGAATCGGAATACACTAGGCTAGACGGTTCGCAAAAACCCCCGGACGCTGTAGACAGTTCACCGGCCAATCAGTGAAGAGCTGTGAAGCCATGACGTCAAACTCAAGCGTCTGTCTGGGTCCATTTTGTGGTTCAGCACAACAGTAAACAAAGCGGTCGAGATGGATGTAGACGAAGACAGACATTCTGTGTTGGCAACGATTCCTGAGATCAAGGATTTAAGGACGGAACAAAGTAGCCTGATTCATCAACTGGTTTCACTTCGTAGAAACCGTCTGACCTCGCAGCATTAGGATTCGTTCGCTCGACAGTAGGCGGGCACTTTTTTTATTTAACCAATCGTTGCTATTTGGTCGTGACGTATGTAATGAGCCGATAATGGAGCTAACTTGTATATTAAGCTTTTCCCAAATCCGGTAGGAAGAAGGGTAATAACGTCTTTCCTCTTGCTAAATTCACCAAACATTCTTTGTTCCGGCTTTAAATCCTCGATCTCGGGAATCGTTGCCAACACAGAATGTACGGCTCTTCGTTGATTGGCTGGTGCCCAAACTCACACTTCTTGGGTTTTTGCAAAATGTCTAGTGCAGGCATGTCCAAACTATGACCCGTGGGCCAAATGCGGCCCTCAGACCAATTTTTCTTGGCCCTCAGGCTTCCAGGTGAATTGGCCCAAATTACCTTGCATCAATTCAAAATTAACTTTTTACTGCAAGTTTTTTTTGAAAATCTACCTTGATAAAGCTGATATTTAATAATTAGTGTGTGATTTTAAGAATGTTAGCATGAGTAAAGACTGATAATTCACTCTAATGTGTTAAACATGCACATATTTCAATTATTCACTGTATTTAGCACCAGTCTACAGCCCTCGATCAGCCCTCTGCTTCGTCTGTGTTTAGACATGTGGCCCTTGATGAAAAAAGTTTGGACACTCCTGGTCTAGTGTATTCTGATTCCTGACCTAGTTGCTGGAGAGAAATGAAATTGAGCGGAGGCACTAGGTGGCGCCAGTCTGGGTGGGAACAAAGAGAACGTTTGGTGAATTTTATCAAGGGGAAAGACGTTGTTGCCCTTCTTCCTACGAGATTCTTCCTACGGGATTTGCTATTTAACCAACAGCAGCGGTTGGCTAAATATAAAAAGTTTCCACGAAGTGAAACTGGCTCATGAATCAGACTAGGATAGAGTAGCCACATCTGTACAAAAGTAAGCGTATGATGACTTTAAAATAATTATTGAAGTAAACGTTGGCTGGTCACGATAACAAATTTTGAAGCACAATATACTGGTACAGAGATATACTGTGATAAACGATAATATTTAAACTATTTTATTCCACTGAGACACAGAAAAATTAATAAAAATGTTGATTTATTCATTTATTTATGTATTTATTTTGGGCAAGTAAAAGATTAAAGTTCTTATACAATGGAACACGTAACATTAGTGAAATCATAACAGAAATAACCACAACAACAACAAAGAAAATGTTACTAAAAAGGAGTGGGAAGAAGAAAATTCACAAGACAAGACAATGAGTAATAGTTTTGTATAAACAGTATCATTAAAAAACAGGAGCTGCTACATATAAATAACAAAATGTACTATTAATTTGTAAACAATTAGCCATAGAAATCACTCATTCAAATTTTTACAGCTCAAATTTTATCGTATTGCAACAAAAATATTTCCAAATCTCCCCACTTTTACAAACAAACTCTACACACAATAAATATTCGTGAGAAAAAAGTTAAAGTAAAAAAATAGTTGTCAAAGAAAATACTGCAAGACTGACTCGGCAGAAACTCCTGTAGCTGATGAAGAGATAATGCACAGATGCAGATTTCAAAACAACAGACCACAAACATGAGGTGACACATGAAAAAAAGCTTGTTTACGCGTTGTAATTTCTATAATGTATTTTGTTTTAGATTTGGGATACAGTACTGAGTCCCTTTGCACCAGTTTACCCCCAGGTCTGGAATCCGTGGTGGTGGTGGTAGTTACGGGGGGCCGGACGTACTAACAAATGCGATGTGTTTTTGCAATGGTTTATAAAAATGGTGGACTAACTAACAAGCAACCCAGTCTTCTGCGTCTGAAAGTATCCGAGTTAATGATGTGAGGAATGTGCATGAGCAGGAAACAAGAGTAGATATGTTTTCTGACGTTTGGTAAAAGAGTTTCCTTATTGTCACTGCTGGAAGAAATACTTTTACCGGAAAAAGTAAAAGTAAAATCACGTGAAAAATCGACTTGAGTGAAAGTATTAAAGTACCTGTTTCAAATGTATGTTTAAGAGTAAAAAGTAAAAGTGTTTCTTGCAGATTTTGAGGTTTTTAGAGCTCAGATTATGAATGTGTTAAAAGTAATCTTCACCAGAACACGAACTGAAAAGTAATGATTTCAAGAATTACAATCAGTAATTCAGAATTCATGAATTCACTGACGTGACTCGACTGTCATTACGACACAGCCTTTATTTACTGAGCAGAAGTAGGAACATTGATTAGGATGGACTATTGCGCCGCACACGCCATGGACTGAACCAGGACTAACCTAGGACTGATTCCAGGACTAAACCAGGACTGAATTAGGACTAAACCTGGACTGAACCAGGAATAAAAAAGGAATAAACCAGGACTGAATTAGGACTAAACCAGGATTAAACCAGGACTGAACCAGGACTGAGTGTCAGGACCGGCCCACAGGACTAAAACAGGACTAAACCAGGATTTATCCCAGGACTAAACCAGAAGTAAACTAGGACTAAACCAGGACTAAGCCAGGCCTAAAATAGAACTAAACCAGGTCTAAACCAGGACTGATCTCAGGACTGATCTCAGGACTGAACCACAGGGACTAACCCAGAAGTGAACTAGGATTAAACCAGGACTAAACCAGGACTAAACCAGGACTAAACCAGGACTCTGTGCCTCACCAGGTATTATCACGCTTTGCGGACACCTGCTTCACGGGCTTTAGGCTTTCTCTCTGTCTCTCTCTCTCTCTCAAGTCCAAGATTAGTCTTGGTTTAGACCTGGTTTAGTCCTGGTTTAGATCTGGTTTAGTCCTGGTTTAGTTCTGGTTTAGAGCTAGTTTAGTTCTGGTTTAGTCCTAGTTTAGTCCTGGTTTATTCCTCCTTTAGTCCTCCTTTATTCCTGGTTTAATCCTGGTTTAGACCTGGTTTAGACCTGGTTTAGTCCTCCTTTAGTCCTCCTTTAGTCCTGGTTTAGTCCTGCTTTAGTCCTGCTTTAGTTCTGATAAGAGCTAGTTTAGTCCTGGTTTAGTCCTCCTTTAGTCCTCCTTTAGTCCTCCTTTAGTCCTCCTTTAGTCCTGGTTTAGACCTGGTTTAGATCTGGTTTAGTCCTAGTTTAGTTCTGGTTTAGAGCTAGTTTAGTTCTGGTTTAGTCCTCCTTTAGTCCTGGTTTAGTCCTCCTTTAGTCCTGGTTTAGTCCTGCTTTATTCCTGCTTTAGTTCTGATAAGAGCTAGTTTAGTCATGTTTTAGGCCTGTTTTAGTCCTGGTTTAGTCCTGGTTCATGTGTTGTAGTGTATGATTTATATTCTGTAGGTGTTTATGAATGGCATTAATGTTAATAACATCGATGGCGTCACGAATCGCCCACTCCCACTTAAAAAAAATCCCCTCTGCACCTCTGCACCTCTGCACCTCTGCATGTGAATGAAACTAAACAAAATCCAGGTCTGTTTGTGACGAGAAAACAACATTACAACATTGGAAAACAGACTAATATGGGCCCTTTAAGTTATGTAATTATATTTTATTCATAGCAGTGATCAGATTTGTGGATCCAGACCTTCTTGAAGACTGGGTTGGATTATTTTTTGCCCGTGTTGTTGTTGTGTGTGGGTTTTTCCTGCAGGGTCTTGTTTTACTAATACCTGGTGATCTCTGGAGATTTTTCACTGTTTTGTTGAAAATATTGAAATTTGAAATGTTTTTAAAATTCACACTAACATTTTTATCAGCAGAAATCGTACGTGGCTGTGTTCAGACTCTAAACTAGACCTAGACCAGGACTTAACTGGGACTAAACCAAAAACTTAACCAGGACTAGACTAAAGCAGGTCTACAACACAATTAAACCGGGACCAAACAAGGACTGAACCAGGACTAGAAGAGAAGCAAACCAGATCTGGATTAACACTAAACTGGGGATAAATAAAGAACTAGACCAGGATTTAACTGGGACTAAACCAGGATTAGACCAAGAGAAAACCAGGATCAAAACCAGTACTAGTCCAGCAACAAGGACTAGACCAGGACTACACCAAGACTAAACCAAGACTAAACCAGTACTAGACCCAAGACTACACAAGGACTAAACCAGGACTAGACTAAGACCAAACCAGTACTAGTCCAGCAACTAGAAATAGATTAAGACTAGACCAGGACTAAACCAAGACTAGACCAATACTAGACCCAAGACTACACCAGGACTACACCAGGACAAGACCAGGACTAAACCAAGACTAGACCAATGATTACACCAGGACTAGACCAGGACTAAACCAAGACTACCAAACCAAGACCAATACTTGACCCAAGACTACACCAGGACTACACTAGGACTAGACCAGGACTAAACCAAGACTAAACCAAGACTAAACCAAGACTAAATCAAGACTAGACCAGCACTAGACCAAAGACTACACCAGAACTAGACCAAGACCAAACCAGTACTAACGCAGCAACCAGGACTAAACCAAGACTAAACCAAGAGTAAACCAAGACAAGACCAAGACCAGACCAATACTAGACCCAAGACTAGACCAGGACTAAACCAAAACTAAACCAAGACTAGACCAGGACTAGACCAGGACTAGACCTAAGACTAATTCAAGACTAGATCAGTACTACACCCAAGACTACACCAGGACTAAACCAAGGCCAAACCAAGACTAAACCAAGAGTAAACCAAGACTAAACCAAGACTAGACCAGGACTAGACCAGGACTAGACCAGCACTAGACCAGCACTAGACCAGGACTAGACCAGGTCTAAGCAGAGATCAAACGAGTACTAGTGCAAGATTAGACCTGATCTGAACCATGACTAAACTAGGACTATGACAAGACCAAACCAGATCTACATCAAGACTAAACTGGGTCCAAAAAAGAACTAGACTAATACTAAATTAAATTAGACCAGAACTAAACCAGGCTAACAAGAAAACAAAACCAGGTCTAGACCACGACTAAAAAGGGCTCAAAGTGTGAACGCAGCCTCAGACTCACTTTTTAACCAAACCCAATCAAACTTTTTACATGTTTTACCTCGTTTATTTCACTAACATTTACATTTTTATGATTTCCCTGCGGCGTACAGAGCAGCAGACCGTCGTCCTCCTGCCTCGATCTCCTTCAGCCTCCAAGACTTACTTCCCAATCCCGCTGGACCACCTGGAGGAGGAATATCGGATACGATCTGCCGATGATGGAAAGCTCTTCAGGGAGGAGTACAATGTAAGTATACGTATATTAACAGGTGGTTTTTGAAGTACTATTTACTCCAACTGTGTAATTACAAAGTTGTGAGTCAATGCAAGGAACCCGGTATTTTTGTCTGATCCTCTGCAAAGTCCGTGTTATTAAATATGTGGTAAGATCCAGCTGATTTGATGTAACATGTACTTGATAGGCTGATAATAGACGGGTACTTTGGATACACATTAGACATACACATATTATGGTTACTTAATGACGGTTCAATCATTTGTTGAGTTTTAAAACGGGTATTTATAAGTGTAGGTTAGTGCATGTTTTGCCCGTAGACTAGGGGTGTAACTGTACACAAAAATCACGGTTCATTATGTACTTCGATTTTAAGGTCACGATTCGGTTCATTTTCAGAACAAACCCATTTGCTTGTTGTTTATTTGTGTTTTTCTTAAACCAACAATTTGTTTTAACATTACACAAACGGGAAAATAAAATAAATGCAAAGTGCTGCTTGGTAATACTAATAAGTTAAATCAAATATTCTCAAATAAGCAACAAATGTATGAAATATTATAAAAATAATAATAATAATAATAAATTCCTTGTGAACAGTAAGAAAAGCTTTTTAAAAATCACTAACAGTTCCAGCATGAAGTTTTACTCAGGGCCTTGCGGGTAAAAACGACAAAATATTTTATTAGAAGTGCCTTTCGTTTAGACGGTGGTGGCATTTTGGGGCTTAAAAATGCAAAAATCTGAAACCATACTTGAGAGTGGAAAAGTTGAATACGCTCCACCGTAGCGTTTCCATCTACACTGCCCAAGACGCAAAACTCTGGTCAGATCTGCTCAGGTCGCGTACGCGTTTACATCACGTACATCACCACCGAGCCGCCTGGCATGCTTACTCAATCGAAATCCACACACTTTTGCATCACCGTACGCACGCAGATTTCCTCCTGAAAACGCTCGTCTAAACCCGGAATAAAAAGTGAAGACGCGATGCCACTTTGCATCTTCTGTTCAGACCGTTATCATATAAACGTAGCCTCAATCTTCATATTTTTGGCCAGAAAAACCCACTTGTCCACATGGTCTACAGTGAGTGCAGATCTGCTTGGGGAGATTCTGTGCTGACAAAAGGTGAAAGTGATGACTGTGGCATGAGTTTTACAAGGATTCACGTGGTTCGGAGGGATGTAGTCAAGGTGGGAGGCAATTGTGGTTAAGGCGGTTTCCCTAACTATAAAGCACCACGGGAAACACTGCCACCCCAATCACAGATGAGTTCCCTTGTAAATATTAAAGAACCGAGCCTTCCATGTCGCTGCACATGTAGAGGTGGAATGTTAACACACCCAAACTGCGCAAATTCACTCGTGCACATCCCTGCACCGAACCAAACATCTTATGAATTCATGTACCGTTACACCATGGATCTATTAAAATAACTGGATAGGGTGTTGCTGCTTGTAGCTGACTCCAGTTGATGTAGTGGGCTGTCACTGGTACTACAGTGGAAAAAATCCCCTGGGCTGAGAAAGGATTTTCCTCTTAGAGCGCAATGTAATCACAAACTGCTCGTGTTCGTCTGACAGGGCATCTACAACTTTCAAAAATGTCAGATTTTGTGCCGATTTTTACCTAATTTTAAATCATAAACTTTTTCTCAGCTCAAAATCCTTCAGTTTTCTTAAAAAATGTTTTATAATCATTCGCTCCAACTCCGCTCTAGCTCCTCTCGCTCTGATTGGTCAAAGCGATCATGTGATACTCGAGGCCGCGCTCCGTGCATGCGCTCACGTGCATTTGTGGAAGGAAGTGAGCATGGGTGTGCTTCTGGCTCCATCGACTCTGCCTCCAGTTCACTTTATATTAAAAAAAACTCTCACTCATTTCATCATTTTGGTCTTAAAATCTTCGAATTAACCCGCTCTACGTGATCCTGGTGTTTTTATTTCGCAATTTTGTCCATAAATAAAGACATGAACATTAATAAGAGACAAATCAGGTGCGTTTTTTTCCCGAAGATTGCTCTCGTAGGTACAACTGGATTGATTGACAACATTGCAAAGCGCCTACTCCCTGCTAAACCTTTACTTTCAACAGCCTCGCTCACGATTGGCTCTTTGGTTGCTATGATACTCGTGATCAGAAATCCAAACATGCAACTCCAAATTCATCCCTATAACTGTAAGCCTCGATGAGCTTCATTTGACTGGAGCCGAACGCTACAGGTGCCGTCACACTCCCTTAGTCCACTTCTTTACACAGTTTATGGTTTTGCCCAAAGACACAATGGCAGTGTGAACATTGAGGAAGTGAAACTGCCAGCTGTTATTTTTGTGCTTTAACACCTAAAGAGAGTTGAGGCTAAACACAGAAAGAATGAAACACTTTTACTGATGTGTTAAGTTTGCATAACACAAATTAAAAAATAAAAAATGTGAGTTAAGTGTAAAGTTTTAGTAGTACTTTTAACAGATTTAACCGTGACTTTTGTTATTAATTTGCTTAAATGCGTTGTCTTTTGTTCAGCGTTACTTCTCATCCACGATTCAGGGCAGTTTTATTATTGCAAAGTCTTACACAGTATTACAAAGCTGTTACTGTGATAATACTGCACCATAGACTTTATTACATAGGACTAGCAGTAGCAGTAACTTGAACATTGTACTTGTACTTTAAATTTGTCTCTAAGCCTATTACACACTTTTATCACTTCTTAATAAAACTCATGATAAAAATGTACGAGAGAATTTGAATTTATTATATAGTTGTAGTAGTAGGAGGAGGAGTAGTAGGAGTAGTAGTAGGAGGAGGAGGAGGAGTAGTAGAAGTAGTAGCAATAGTAGTAGTAGTAGTAGCAGCAGCAGCAGTAGTAGCAGTAGTAGTAGTAGCAGCAGCAAGTAGCAGTAGCAGTAGCAGTAGTAGCAGTAGTAGCAGTAGTAGTAGTAGCAGTAGTAGCAGTAGCAGCAGTAGCAGCAGTAGCAGCAGTAGCAGTAGTAGCAGTAGTAGCAGTAGTAGCAGTAGTAGCAGTAGTAGCAGTAGCAGTAGCAGTAGTAGCAGTAGCAGCAGTAGCAGCAGTAGTAGTAGTAGTAGTAGCAATAGCAGCAGTAGCAGTAGTAGCAGTAGTAGTAGTAGTAGTAGCAGCAGTAGCAGCAGTAGCAGTAGTAGCAGTAGCAGCAGTAGCAGCAGTAGCAGCAGTAGCAGCAGTAGCAGCAGTAGCAGTAGCAGTAGCAGTAGCAGTAGCAGTAGTAGCAGTAGCAGCAGTAGTAGCAGTAGTAGTAGTAGTAGTAGTAGCAGCAGTAGCAGTAGTAGTAGTAGTCATTGTCGTCGTAGTAGTAGTACCTTGTAGAGCTGCTCGATCATGGAAAAAAATCATTATCATGATTGTTATGGTCAATAATGAAATCACAATCATTCAGAGGATTTTTTGTTACACGATACATTTATTTAGCATTTCTCCCTCTCAAAAAAAAAAAAATAAATACTAACAAAAAACACTTTGGTATTGATAATTTATGTAAAACCTCCAAATTGAAAATAAATATAGGCTACAAATATGAACTTTAGAGCAGTTTTGCAATGAATAAAATATACTTTGAACATGAAATAATCCGTAGAAAAACATAAATGTATCCAAAATAAACTATATATCCAGCTGTTCTACATTCTCTATATTTAAATAACAGAATAATCATACTTATTTGTATTAAAAAATATCCCAAAATAAACTAAATAAGCTTTAAATCATTTCAACTTGATTATATGAGTTTGGAGATAATTTGACACACAAATCGAAATCGTGATCAAAATTCAATTAATTGCACAGCCTTAGTACCTTGAAGATTTTTTAAAGCAGACATATTATTAAGCATTTTAGACATTTTAGTCATGTTATAGTTATTTCCTCTCACCATTTACTCTCTCGAAGTTTTATTTGAAGTGACTTGTGCATGTTTGAGCAATCCTTAAAGATCCTACATTGCGCAAAAAATAAATTCTTGTGATTGTTAGAATGCCGTTACCTCATCAAAAACATACCCAAGGTTGTGTTTTGTTTTATTCACACTTTTGAGTAATCCTGCTTGATTAGTCTGTCTTTATCAACAAAGCTCAAAATGCTCTGTTCCACCTTGTGATGTCATGAAGCTGTAGTTTTCGAGTTTGCAGCTACCAACTCACGCTTGATTTTTTTTCTTAATCTCAATTTTTTTTTAATTATCCAATATTGGCTAACTGCATTACACAACTTTACCACGTCTTTTTATAGTACCACACCTTTTTATGATTCATTTGTATGGTCACGTATTCTCACCTCGTCAGTGGCACATGCCCACACACACACACCTTCAAAAGTACCATATGTTATTTAAGTTTATGAGGATATGACCAGAGTGAGTCAGTATGAAGAAGCGTGTGATTTGAGTGAGAGGAGGAAGTCGGTGTGTATGGCCCGTTTACTGTCACTGGTGCAGAGGAAGTGCCCACAGCAGTAACACACACACACACATACAAACACACACCGGTGCAATAGACCCGCTATAGGGAGGTTGTGTATGTGGCATCTGTGAGCTCTTGATTATCAAGTTTGACATATTTAAATCAAGGTCATTGTGATTTTGTTGTACAATGGAAAGCACCTATACTGCACTATATATACTGTAGGAGTAGTAGGAGCAGTAGTAGCAGTAGTAGCAGTAGCAATAGTAGTAGTAGCATAGTAGTAGTAGTAGTAGTAGTAGTAGTAGTAGTAGTAGTAGTAGTAGCAGTAGTAGTAGTAGTAGTAGCAGTAGTAGTAGTAGTAGCAGTAGTAGTAATAGTAGTAGTAGCAGTAGTAGTAGTAGTAGCAGTAATAGTAGTAGTAGTAGTAGTAGTAGTAGTAGTAGTAGCAGTAGTAGTAGTAGTAGTAGTAGTAGTAGTAGTAGTAGTAGTAGTAGTAGTAGTAGTAGTAGCAGTAGTAGTAGTAGTAGTAGTAGCAGTAGTAGTAGTAGTAGTAGTAGTAGTAGTAGTAGTAGCAGTAGTAGTAGTAGTAGTAGTAGTAGTAGTAGTAGTAGTAGCAGTAGTAGTAGTAGCAGCAGCAGCAGCAGTAGTAGTAGTAGTAGTAGTAGCATTAGTAGCAGTAGTAGTAGTAATAGTAGTAGTAGCAGTAGTAGTAGTAGCAACAGTAGTAGCAGCAGTAGTAGTAGTAGTAGTAGTAGTAGCATTAGTAGCAGTAGTAGTAGTAGCAGTAGTAGGAATAGTAGTAGCAGCAGTAGCAGTAGTAGTAGTAGTAGCAGTAGTAGTAGTAGTAGTAGTAGTAGTAGCAGTAGTAGTAGTAGTAGTAGTAGTAGTAGTAGTAGTAGTAGTAGTAGTAGTAGTAGCAGTAGTAGTAGTAGTAGTAGCAGTAGTAGTAGCAGTAGTAGCAGTAGTAGTAGTAGTAGTAGTAGTAGTAGTAGCAGCAGCAGCAGCAGCAGCAGCAGCAGCAGCAGTAGTTGTAGTAGTAATAATAGTAATAGAAGTAGTAGGAGGAGGAATATTAGTAGATATAAATAGATTAATAAACTCTAGAACAAATGTGTGCAGTAGTTGTAGCAGCAGACATAGTAGTAGTAATAGTAAAAGTAGTGGGAGGAGGAGTAGTCATAGTAGCCATAGAGGTCATAGGAGGAGGATGAACTGTAGCTGTGATTATAGGCAGATTAATAAAATCTAGAACAAATGTGTGGTAACACTGGCCTAGTGCATCAAAAGTTAGATGATCTGTTAGTAGTAGTAGCAGTAGTAGTAGTACAACTTGTAACTCAGCTGTGGTTCATTACACATGTTTTATGATTAAGTGAGATTCAGGAGCTGGACCACGCCTCAACCTCCTCTCCAGCCAAACACGACTTATCTCAACCACGCCGTAAGCCCTAATTATACAACCTGTCCAACATCGTCCGAATCAGCTTTCTCCACACCCTCCCTCCCACCCGTGTTGTTTTGAATCAGCTGGGTAACCATTTTGGATTGGAGATTGTACCCCCACTCTAAGTCTCCCCCAGCCAACACATCTATCCGCCGTCAAAAAATATCTTTACTGTATTCCACTGTTGAGGCGTGGTCCTTGCTAGTGAATACATTCGACAAAATAGTGTGGAAATACTGAGTGTCTAGCACTAACACAACAAGCATTAACACTGACCACTGATTTTGTATTGTTTGATTTTGTAATACCTGACTCACTGTTTTGTTTTGTACAGTCTTTACCGGGCGGACATGTCCAGGGCACATATGAAGAGGCCAACAGAGAAGACAACAAGGAGAAGAACAGATACCCCAACATCCTCCCATGTGAGTCCTGCACTACAACTACTGCAAAACATACTGTAAAATACTCTCCATGACCGATACCGATACCTATTTTTAATAAACCAATGGCGGAAGTTCTGATCATATTTTATAGGGAAGATTTTCATAATTCCCAAAAACAAACAAACTCACCCTGTTTCAGCACAATCTTGTGAACAAGATCTGGTATTTTAAAGGGATACATCACAAACATGACAAACGAAATCATATCTTAAGAAGCAGTGAAAGAAACCAAAATGTTTAAAAGTCCTATATTACACAAAATGTACTCATGGCAAATATTGTCAAAAATGCGTTTGTCACTCATATATTCTACCCATACACTGTAAACCTGAATAAGTTACAAGAACTCAAAAAAATTGAGGCAACCGATTGCCTTGTTAATGAATTTAAAAGTCACAATCTTCCAGAGATTAAAAGATTGGCTTGCTTGTATCTTGTACTTTTTGATAACAGCTGAATTAAAAGTGCTCATTCAGCTCAACTCAGATATTTGCAATCAGAGTTTTCAAACTCCTGGAATAATTTCAGTACAAATTCAGTTATGTATTTAATCCATGATTTTTGTACACACATTGTACTTACAATCCAGTATATCTACACACATTGTAGTATAATATATAGTAGTAAGCATATATAGACACATATATGCTTAGATTATACACACTGTAGGAGGGTTCCCCAGATGAAAATATATAAATAATGTATATAGTTTAATAATATATACATACTTACATACATTACACATTATAGTATACACATAATACATTATACACACATTAGATGTTATTTTTTAACAAATTAATTCTACTAAGTTGTACCTTCGTCTATGTTTTTAAGTTACACTCACTTATAACCACAATAGTTCCCTTTAATCAAAACATGTTAGTTAAAGTTACTCAAAAAAGAAGAAAAATAGAAGAACTATTTCTAAAACTTGATCTATTAGTTTGAACTTTCAGGTTTACAGTGATAGTGGGAAGAGTAACTGAAATCTATAGGCTTCTGCTGCAACCATAGACTGTGTGTATAAAGATATATAACTTCCAAATAGGAAGTGAGCATGGAGGCACTTCCGGCTCCATCAACTCTGGCTCCAATTGACATTACACTGAAAATATCACCATAACTTCTGCATTGAGCCTTGTTATTTTGGTCTTAAAATGGTCGTATTTGCCAGCTCTACTTGATCCTGGTGTTTTTATTTCACTATTTTGTCTGTTAATTATGACTACTTGTGATTTTGCTGTTTTGTCTACTTAAAAAAAATAATAATTTAAATACTGCTACCTTTATGAGCCGAACCCTCCCAATACACAAACGTCCACTCGCTCTGAAATACACCCCACACCCAAACTAAAATGTAAAGAAAATAATCATGTTTTCGCACTGTCACATCTGCTCTAATGTAATTCCAATAGGTCCTTGTTCAACCTTCTATTTTCCTAAGCCTGATTTAACCTGTGCTTTTCCACGTCCAGACGATCATTCCAGAGTGGTGTTGACTCAGCTGGAGGGAGTTCCCACTTCAGACTACATCAACGCTTCCTATATCGACGTGAGCCCTATTTTCAAAACTTACAGTCACATTTTAAAAGTGCACATGACGGCTTTTTATATAGTTATTTTGTGGTTTGGTAGGTTAGTACCTCTTGTTTGGCAGTTCGTGGTGAAAAAGTTGACATGAAAGTTCAAAAATACAGGAAGTAGCAGTTCATGCCTCTACCTTTGTCATCAATACGGACAATTTACACTCAAGGAAGACAGTTTAAACATTCATTAAACAAAATAATGACTGTAATAATATTTTAAAGTCTAATTATAGCTATTGTGGTATGGAATTTCCTCTACATAAGTCATGTTTGCTGCTTTTTCCAGCAAGGAAGTAAAATCATAAACTTGATTCAAATACAAAAAAAATAAATAAAATAAAATAGGTGAGATTTTTAATAAAACCTTAAAAGTCACATGCTCTGTTCCACCTTGTGATGTCATGAAGGGTAGTTTCCAAGTTAACAGCTCCTTTTTCCTTTAGTTAAGTAGAGATTGTCAATTCTAGAGCTGAAATTATAACTTAAATTAAAATATAATGATATAATAATGACCGTCATATGCACTTTTAATAAAAAACTAAATTATCTACTGCGTATTTAAGTGTTCTGATTTTTCCTACAGGGTTTTACGGAAAAGAACAAATTCATAGCAGCACAAGGTAATAAAAAAACACAGAAAAAGATTTGAAAGTTTGACTTATTTTTAGCTAAGATCCTAAGTTGAATGTTTTGTTTTGCAGGTCCGAAAGAAGACACAGTGGCAGATTTCTGGCGAATGATTTGGGAACAGAAAGTAGCGACAGTTGTCATGTTGACAAATCTGAAAGAGAGAAAAGAGGTGAGTACATGGTTTATTTTAATGTCTTATTTTGCAATTTAGCAAGAAAATTAAAACACTTTACGCCGTCCACCCACTTCTCCTGACATGAGACATAAAAAAAATAACAAATATAACAGGACTGTCCTATAGTGACCTGAGACTAAACCAAGACTAAACCAGAAATGAACCCGGACTGAGTGTCGCTCCATGTGTTCAGAGTTCTCTCTCTCGCTTTGAAGTCCAAGATGTGTTCTGGTTTAGTCTTGGTGTAGTCCTGGTTTAGACCTGGTTTAGACCTGGCTTAGTCCTGGTTTAGTCCAGGTTTAGACCTGGTTTAGTCCAGGTTTAGACCTGGTTTAGCCCTGGTTTAGACCTGGTTTAGTCCTGGTTTAGTCCAGGTTTAGACCTGGTTTAGACCTGGTTTAGTCCAGGTTTAGATCTGGATTAGTCCTGGTTTAAACCTGGTTCAGTCCTGGTTTAGTCTTGGTTTTGGCCTGGTGTAGTCCTGGTTTAGTCCTGGTTTAGACCTGGTTTAGTCCTTAGTCCGCGGCTAAACCGCGAGTCGGGCGGATGACGTGATGAAAAATAATATTTTAATTAAATTCGGGCAGGTGGCGGTTTCACTACTCAAATAAAAAACTCTGAACTTGGAGCAAATAGGAGGAGACCGAGCGGATGGTGGGCAGGTGCGGTTTTGAAAAACTGTGGTTGCAAATGGATAGTGAGCAGATGATGAGTTTTGCGATGCGGTTGCGAATGAAAAAGTTGCCCATCCGCGCATCTCTACTTCAGACCGAGCAGTGCTTCCTGTTAGCTTCACACCCCCAGAGAATGTTGACACCTACAGCTGCAAAATATTAATAAACATGGTACATAAAATGATATCCTATAGCATTGTGGTCACTCTTTATAACCATCATTTTGAATATTTTTAGAAGTTTTAACTATTCGAGAGCCTTTTTGTCCCCCAATCCATAATTGTAGCAACTGCCCCATTCAGTAGTTTGTAAAGTGAAAGTAAAATACACTCACGTATGACTCTTTCTCTTAGAGTATATTTAGTAACATTTATTGTAACTTTTTTTATTACTCAACCTGCCCCATGTGATTTTTCTGAAAGATCAGCCTTTTTATATTGCAGTAGTGTGAATAATAGTCTTTATTTGTCCATTTCTTCACAAAGAAATCAAAATTGGACCTTTCACCCCATTTCACCCGAACATTACAAACATAAAATACAATACAATACGACATGAAGAAGACTACGTGGACCCGACCGGAAGATGAATAAGCAGACAAATAAACACTGAATACGGAATAAACACTGCAGCATTACATGAGGGGAGGGGGGAGGAGGCTAGAATAAAGACAATATATGAAATACATGGGGAATTTAATTTGTTTATGGACCTGAGTTATTGCACGAATGTGATGGGGGAATAACAATATCGCAGTAGTAGTTTTATAGTACGTAGTGTATGTAGTTTAAATGATTGTCTCTTTTGATATGCCTTAAATAAATAGGAAATACATCAATGTGGCTGCCATTTTAACCTCAGTTATTATCGCAAGTCATAAACAATCTTTAAATGGCTCATATTACGCTATTTTATTTCCTCATCACAAACAAACCTGGACTTGTGCTTTGTTTCATTCACACATTTTAAAGGGGCAGTCAGGAATTTTGGACATAGGACCTCATTTCTTAGTTAGACACTTTTTAAAATATTCCATTCAGTCCTTGTATTTGCAGAGGTCACTGGTGCTAGGCTAGTGCATGTCAATGGCCATAGTTATCCCGCCACTAAAAACAGTCTTACTCACTCCACAAAACACCCGAAGCAAATATATTATTACACCAGACTATTGATGTAAATGTTTGTGTTGATAGAATCAGTTTAGAAGTAAAACCAACCTTGTATTTGAAGGATTTATGTCTGAGCAGCAGCAGCGAGTTGTACTTCCTGACAGAAAGCTCGGCAGCGGCGGACTAATATATGAGAAAATAGTCCCTCAACATGCGACGATTCATGCGATGATTATTGATTATGAATTATTCTTTCAACACAGACCTTTACATCGACAGTCTGGTGTAATAATAGTTTTGTTTCGGGTGTTTTGTGGAGTGGGTAAGACTGTTTTTAGTGCAAGGGTGCTCAATACATCGATCGCGATCTACCAGTCGATCGCCAAGGTCGTGTGGGTAGATCGCCGTGTCTCGTCTCGGACTCGCGTTTGGACTCGGTCTTGTCTCTCCCTCAAGGTCTGACACTCAACAAATGCGATCATATTTCATTACAGCCGCTGCTGTTGGACTCACGGCACATCACAAACACACACGCTCCCTATGCACGGCTCGTCTGCAACAGCGTGTGCCCTCGTGTACCAGCGTGCATCACAGGGCAGGTTAAACTTCCTAAACATCCGACCTGTCCATCTGCCTCACGTCAGCACGCCGCCCCTCGCCTTTTCACGCTCTCGCTCCTTCCTGCGTACAGCGAAAACAAACCCCTTCCACAGTGCGCTGATTAGAAGAGCAAGACCAAACGTGAAGCAAAAAGGAGTCTAAATTTGTGTTCCAATGTTGGCACAAAGCAGGTCTACAACATAGAGCAGATCTACAGAACAGACCTACTGCCACATTTGGCTGAAGTTCACCTAACAAAAGTGCACAAATGCATCTGTGTTTGTCACGATGTGCGTTTGGTTTGGTAAACGTGCAGAGGCTGGTAAATATCACTGCAAAACCAGAAAAGAATGCAACTCCAGTTTGGAACTTTAAAAAACAGGTTTAAAAATCTTCCTTCACTTTTTTCACAGTTTTGTGTAAAGTGCCAGAGGAAGTTCTCTTAAAGAAGGGGTTCTCAAACTGTGGGTGAGGGTCCAAAAAAGGGGCACAGAGTGTTTCAGTGCAGTTTGCTTGGCTTTGTATTAGGTAGATCATTTTGACTTGGTCATTTTGTAAGTAGCTCGCATGCTGAAAAAGTGTGAGCACCCCTGTTTTAGTGGCAGGATAACTATGGCCATTGACATGCACTAGTCTAGCACCAGTGACCTCTGCAAATACAAGGACTGGATGGAATATTTAAAAAAGTGTCTCCACACGTCTCCAACACTCTGGCTCACTAGGACTAACCTATGTCCACAATTGTCCCTTTAAAACCCAAACCCTGCATATTTATGTCATGTGGTAATACAGTAATTACACCTTCACTAGAATCATTTGGATAATATTAGCCCTGGAATTGCCAATCTCTGCTGAAAAAAAGGTAAAAGGCAGATGTTCACTTGAAATTTTTGAGCTTTGGAGGTGTAGACAGACTAATAAACCAGTATTTTTCAAAACACGTGTGAATGAAACAAAACACAACTCTCGGTACGTTTTTGAGGAGGAAACAATAACACGGCTTAAAGCTCACATAGATTTAACCACAGCGTTTAAATATTTTTTGCAAACGCTGATTTTAAAATACACATTACCTTCGTCCTCCTCCTCCACTCCCTCTCGAGACACAAATCGTCCTGTCCTCTCCTCATCCCCCGTGAACGAGGTCTGGCCCGATCAATACGAGGAGAAATGGAGAGGATTTGAATCAGTGCGCGCCCCGTTAAAATCAATGAGAACATAATGGTGTGATGAAGTCCTGGAGGGAGTATCAGTAGAGGCCTGTGGGGGCTTAAATTAAGAGAGGACCCCTGTCTCTGTCTCTCGGTGTTATATAGACAGACTGCTCTATGAGTGGAGCGAGGTTTGCCTTTTCAAAGTCATAGGACAGCACTGATTTTCAATATATGTGAATGACACGAATGAATATGCAGATTTAAGACAGTTTTGCTAGGACCTTTTTCAATCAAATGCAAAGTTACATTTTGTTTTTAAAGGTCCTATATTACGCAAAATTGACTCTTGTGAGCTTTAAGCCATGTTATAATGCCGTGACCTCATCATAAACATACCTGGAGTTGTGTTTTGTTTCATTCACGCATGTTTGAGCAGTGGCGGAGTCAGCAATTTGGGGGCCCAAGGTCGAACTTGAGTTTGGGGCCCTCACTATAATGCACTGTTTTGTTGTATTGCTTTTTTTGTTTGTTTGGTTGTTTTTTGTTTTGTTTTTTTGTTTGTTTTGTTTAGTTTTTTGTGTATTTTTAATATTTATTGTCTGTTTTTCAATGTTGTTCTTGAGACATGTACATCTCTATTTGAATTATGGTGGGCTGGAAACGTATTAGTTTGGTCGCTTACTAGAAAACCAGAGTAGTAGTAGTTATATTTTTTGCTAGTACAATTACATTTTTGTTTACATCCATTACATATGATTATGATTCTGCTATGATTATGTTCAAATCAGGGTCAAGCTGACTAGTCCATTCTAACGTGAAAGGGGGAACGCTTTGACAGTTAATAGATTTGATAATCAGATAATATTTTGATGGTGTTTTCTTGCTTAAAAGTAAAACTACTCTCATTTAATGTCATATTGAGAGAAAATCAAATTGCTCTGAGGCTGCGACCATTAGTGGCATTGAGGACAATAGGTTGGGGGCCTCTCCAGGTTCGGGGACCCTAGGCGGTCGCCCACTGTTGCTGAATGGTAGCGCCGCCTCTGTGTTTGAGTAATCCTTTATTGTAACTCTGTCCGCTCAAAATGCTCTGCTCCACCTTGTGATGTCACGAAGCGTCAATTCCAGGGCTGGATTATCCAAATTATTCTAATGAAGACGTTTGGAGTTTAAAAACACACTGGAGCACTTCTTGTATTACCACATGGCATCACAAGGTGGAACAGAGTGTTTTCTGTTTGAGAGAAGAACTCAGCCTAAATATGTGCAAACATGTGTGAATGAAACAAAACACAACTCCAGGTTTGTTTGTGATGATGAAACAACATAACACACATCACTATAACTTTATAACATCTGAGACTTGTTTTCAAAGACCACACTTTCATTCTTCAGTGTATTTCACTCTTACTTGTAAAGGTTTTGGTTCCTCTTCCCGCCATGAGCGCAGTGACAAAAGCTGTACGTTGACAAAAATAAATGATGAAAAAAATTGGCGTTTTTTAGCTCTGTTCCTTATATTTTGTTTCATTTCTCGTTATTTTTTGGTCCATTCTATGAAAATATCAGAGTTTGTTCATTATTATATATCATGTTTTGTCCCTTGTCCAATTCCATTCACTTCAAATTATAAACCAGATGTTAAGCCCAGACAGTTTCCCTTGAAAAGTGAACTATGTAACTTTTCCGGAAGAGCGTTTGCTTCAGCCTAGTCTCCATGGAGATGTTCATTTCTTTGCCTAGAAACTCCCACAGTATGACAGTATTTTTTTAAAAAATCCCTTTTCAAATATGTAGGCTTGCCTCTCCATAGATATGACCTTTAACTTGGCCTGGTGGTGTCAACTGCTTGTCTATATGGAGATTGATAAGTTTAATGTTATATTCTGGGATATTTTAAGTAAAGCAACAACAGCTCAGTGGAGACAATAAGGCTGGGTTGGGTATCTGCATAGTGATGAAGTTTTGTGAAAGTGGATGGTTTGGGACATGGATAAAAACCTCAAAAGGTCTATTTAGTGTTACATTACATAAGTATAACCTAAGCCTCTGTTTGTCTCCCCCTACAGGACAAATGTTACCAGTACTGGCCGGACCAGGGCTGCTGGACGTACGGAAACATCCGAGTGGCAGTGGAAGACTTCACCATCCTCGTGGACTACACCATCCGCAAGTTCTGTGTACAAAATGTAAGTTACTTTTATTATTAATCTGCTTATTTCGATAACAGGTTTATACTTTTATCTCATCCTTCATCTAAAATAAGTGTTAAATATCAGATAACGTTGCCACTTAAAGATGCACTGTGTCACTTTACCTGCTTGTTTCTATGGAGATTCTATTGCTTGTAGTGGAATGGTCCTCAGTATGGCATTAAACATATCTATCTCCATGGAGACACGCATGAGATACGTTTTAGTAATTCAAAAAGCTGTAATTGAGTAAATGCAAGATAGATTAGTTTAATGTTATATGATGGAATATTATTGACAAATCATGTATATGGAGACAAGTACGTGGCAGAACCTCCATCAGAAAAGTTACATAGTGCACCTTTAATATGTGTAACAATTTGAATTAACATACAACATATTGCATTAATGGATAAATATATAATGTAATAACTGCTACTAAAGATGTTTATATAAGGAAAACCAAACTGACACATCAAAATTAAAATTATGTTTAAAAAAAAGTGAAAAATGAAATGTAATTATTGACATTTAAAATAATTTATTTTAATTTATGTTTTGGAAAAAGAAATGAAAATCGTTAGCTTTTCTATCAAAGGGTTTAAGAAAATATGAAGAAAATTAAATAGGCACCTCAAAATTAATAAAAAAAATAAAATAAAATATAATAATAATGTTTTTAAAAAGTGAAAAATTAAACAAACTATTTAAAATAATTTATTTTCATGCATGTTTGGGAAAATAAATGAAAATTGTTAGCTTTTCTATCTCTGGGTTTCAGAATAATGAGAAATTAGTACAGTTGCCATAGCGATGAACATAATTGCTATTAACTACACACCATATTAGATTAGAGATGTCTATATTAAGAAAACTAATTAGGCACCTCAAAATTAATACAAAAAAATTATAATAATAAAAAAATGTAAAAAAAAATAAAATAAAATAAAATTGTGAAAAATGAAACATAATAATAAACATTTTTGACAGTTTTATTTTCATGCATGTTTGGGAAAATAAATGAAAATTATTCACTTTTCTATCCCTGGATTTCGGAATAATGAGAAATTAGTACAGTTGCCATAGCGATGAACATAATTGCTATTAACTACACACCATATTAGATTAGAGATGTCTATATTAAGAAACTAATTAGGCATCTCAAAATTAATTAAAACAAAAAAAAAAAGTAAAAAATTAAACTTAAATTAAATTAAATAATAATGACTATTTAAAAGAATTTATTTCCATGCATGTTTTGGAAAAATAAATGAATATTGTTGTCTATTGTCTATCCATGGGTCTATAATTTTCTAAAATATGTCTATCCATGGGTTTCAGAATGATGAAAAATGTGTACAGTATGTATGACTCAAAACTGAAACCTAAGAAAAGGCTATATGTATTTTTTTTTACATTAGTACTGGCATTTTGTCTTGATATCTTGTATTGAATTGTGTTGTATGTTTCGTTGCAGCAGGCTTCAGACACGGGTAAAAGCGCCCGTCTGGTCACTCAGCTCCACTTCACCAGTTGGCCAGATTTCGGAGTTCCCTTTTCTCCGATCGGAATGCTCAAATTCCTGAAGAAAGTCAAGTCCGTCAACCCTCCCTTCTCCGGGCCCATCGTCGTGCACTGCAGGTTTGTCACTACAGATAAACTTCATAAAACTCTTACAGTTCTCATAGACATACAAGTGACTGTAAAAAGATCTATTTCTATACATTAAGGGTGTACTATGCAACTTTTTCCGCTACCTGCTTGTCTCCATGGAAATGTTAATGCTTTGTTTAGAATGTCCCACAGTATAGATTAAACCTATCTATCTACTTACATTACATTCCCGACAAAATCAATAGCCCCGTAATCTGTATGTGGAAAGCAAAAGTACCCTGATTCATGAGCCGGTTTCACTTTGTGGAAACCGTCTGTCCTCACAGCATTAGGATTTGTTTGTTCGACTGTAGGCGGGTACTTTTTTATTTAACCAATCGCTGCTATTTGGTCGTCGCACTGAAACGCTGAGCGGTGTCCAAGTAATTACCGGCACAACAGCAAACAAACCAGAGAGCGAACATGTGTGTCAACGATCAATGTCGTTTTTGCGAGGTGAACTTGCAAATTAAAGGTGCAATAAAAAATGCTAAATTAATATTTGACAAAGTAAGTCCAAAGGAGGATAGTGTATGCAGTCTGCTATTCACAACTCGGGGTCATTCAGGTCTTCGCTGATTGGTCGGTGTGCGGTCTATAACTTCTGGGGTTCTTGCAAATCGTCTAGTGCATTCTGATTCCTGACCTAGTCGCTGGAGAGAAACAAAACTGTGGTTAGGTAGAGTAGTCTTCAAAAGAAAAGTTACGTAGTGCACTTTTAACATAGCATATTTGAAATTTTGCACTGTACACCGACATAACCAACATGTGGTTTTACCTGACACTACTCTAGTGTTCTTGGGCACCCACGTAGGTATAATTGTGGTCTGTAAGTTGTGGTCAGAGGTGAGAGATTGGCAGACTCTTTTGTAAGTCTCAGACCACCTATGGTTACAACATTATCTTCTTACCACCAAACGTGAAGTGAATGAACAATGTCATTTTAAGATCTGGGAAGACCAACCAAAAATCTAATCCTGTATTATTATTTGTATCATTATTATAATACTCTTCATATAGGACAGCTAAGTTCAAGGTCCTATATTATGCAAAATTGACTCTTGTGAGCTTTAAGTCATGTTATAATGTTGGCACCTCCTCAAAAACAGATCTGGAGTTGTGTTTTGTTTCATTCACACATGTTTGAATAATCCTGTATTATTAGTCTGTCTACGTTCCACCTCGTGATGTCATGCAGTAGTAGTAGTTTTCAATTAAGAGCTCCTTTTACCTTCTGTTCAGTAGAGATTGGCAATTCGAGGGCCGAAATCATCCAAATGATTCGAGTGAAGACAGAGTTTAGGTGGAGTTTAAAAACACAGCTGAGCACTTCCTGTATTATCACATGATCTCAGTGTTTTATGTTTGAGAGAAGAATTCCGCCTAAATATGCAGGGTTTGTGTGTTAAACATGTGAATGAGGATACAACATTATAACATAGATCTGAAAATAGCGTAATGTGAGACTTTTTAATCCTTTTTTTTTTTTTCTGTGTGTCTCTTTTGCTCAGCGCTGGAGTGGGGAGGACGGGGACTTTCATCGTGATTGACGGGATGATCGACATGATGCACTCGGAGCAGAAGGTGGACGTGTTTGGGTTTGTGTCCAAGATCAGGGAACAGCGCTCTCAGCTCATTCAGACAGATGTAAGTCACACTACTACTACTACTACTACTTATACTACAACTACTATCGCCCCCTGGTGGTATGGCATGAAATCTAACATTGTACATGTGTTGGAAGCATTGAATGTTATTGAGCAAATTTGGACATTATTGTTGCACTTTAAGTTGAATTGACACTAAATTAAAAAGCTGCCGACGGTCATTGGTATTAAATTAAAATCACTAAGACACTAGGCATTTTGTGTATAATTCTCAGATCGAAAATGTGATCTTAATCTTGCCATAAGGTTAAGAAAATGTTACTTAAAATTATATGCAAATCACTGCACCAATTCATCCAAGTAGAGAAAATAAAAGCGTATTAATATTATGTCATGTCAAAACAAAAATTAAACATTGATTTGCTCTATTTGACCAAACAAGGTCAACAACTAGAAGGAAAAGGTGCTCTATATTGAAAAATGGCTCAGTATTTGCTTTCAAAAGTACTTCACAGAAAATAACTACACGCTGATGAAATAATTAACGACAACAAAGAGCTACAGTTCATATAGGAGAAAGTACACTGAAAATGAAAGATATTTTTTTACATTCAAATGGCAAATCTCTAAAACCCTATTACTGTATATGTATTTCTTTATTCCTCACAGATGCAGTATTCATTCATATACCAGGCGCTCCTTGAATACTACCTCTATGGAGACACAGAGCTGGACGTGTCGTCTTTAGAAGGACATTTACACAAACTGCACAACACGTACACAGACGGAGACCGGGTCGGGCTGGAGGAGGAGTTCAAGGTGACTCTTTACACTTCATTTAAAGCAGAATTACAGACCCTTTTTTATCATAAATAAGTAAAAAATAATAAAAAATCTGTGGATGTGAATGCTAGTGATATGCCAAAGGGTTTGTGCGAGCTAAAAACTAGTTTAAGTACCTTATCTCCACAGGTAAATCAGGTATCCTAACGTTTAGTGTATTAGTGTATAACTAAAATGCCATCACCTGCTTGTCTCCATGGAGATGTTATTGCTATTGTCATTGGTCTAGACCAGGAGTGGGCAAACTTTTTGACTCGTAGGCCACAAAAAGTTCTATAATTCGACAGATCAAAAGCATATAGAACCTTTATAAAGGTTTAACAAATCTCTCCAAAAGAGTCTCAGCAATGTGAAATTGAAAAAATGTATAAAGTGTGTTGTTTGGTAATCCACTACACATCATAACGCGAAAAAACTGTAATTAATTAATCGCAATTAACGGATTTGTAGAAAACATATTCCATGTTATTGAAATATCCCATCATTAAAAATTATTACAAAGCAGTACAACAAAATATCTGTCTTTCAAGTCCCACGGTATTTACTGTTTACTGAAATTACTTTTAAAACACTGAAAATTATTATTATTATTATTATTCGAGTTCGGCGGGCCGGATTAAAAGGATTAACAGGCTGCATGTGGCCCCCGCGCCGTAGTTTGCCCATCCCTGTTCTAGAATGTTCTATCTATCTCAAGGGACACAACTATAGGCTACATTACAGGTCAGATCTGTGAAAATGCAACCCTATTTACAGAGAGAAGTATTCAGTTTTGGGGCAATAGAAACACCTGTAATGGTTAAATGATAGATGGATAGATGTGTTTAAAGTCATACCATGGAATATTCCAGGCAAAGCAATAACATCCCCATGGAGACAAGAAGGTGACGGTCCCTGCACCAGAGAAGTTGCTCAGTGTGTCTTTAATAATATGCCAAGCTGCTGAATTCTTCTATGTTCACAAATCCAGTCTAGAGTATGATTTTTTTTTTTTACAGATGCCAAAAAATGCCCAAAACATTCCATAATGCATTAAAAGTCGACCATTATTGAGAAGTTGTAACTGGAATATTCACACTCAGTTATTATTATAAACAGTTTTTTCCAAGTACTTTTTAGTTATTTATTTATTTTAACTTTTAATTGAGCTTAGAATCCACTGTATGTTTTCGCCTTCACCACCGCAATGCTCACAGTGAAAGCCCGTACTTGATTTTTTTTATTTTTTTTTATTAGGAAATGTTTTAAATAGCCCAGTTACACAATCTTGAGATCCTCGTGCGTCCTCGGGCACATAGGGCTGATTTCACTGCTTTCCTTTTCCTCTTCCTCCTCATTCCTCTGCATCCTGTCTCGACGCCTTGGATCAAATCATTTCATTTTCTTACTCTGTATGTGTCCACTTCTGCCATCTTTAAGCAGCTTTTTTTTGGTTGGTCCATTAAAGCTGCATTGTGTAACTTTTCTGGTGGAGAGTCAAAAGTTTTTCTGCATAGAGATGTTATTGCTTTATCTGGCATTAAACTTTTCTACGTTCATCGAGAGGAAACTAGACAAAGTTACGGGTCAGATCTGTGGAGAGGCGACCCCGCTCACAGTCAGAATGTTGTTTTTCTAGGTATTTTTGAGCTATAAAACTACCTGTAACTGAATAAATGTAAAGTAGAGCTGTTTAATGCCATACTGTGGAACATTCCAGGCGGAGAAATGACAAATCCATAGAAACAAGCAAGCATAAAACTGGATATTTTATATTTTGTGGAGGAATTTTGCTTTGAGATTAATCTTGAAATCCTATTAAATCTGCACTCGCTGTAGTTCATAAGACATGTCCCTGTATTTATGGCTTAGTTTCAGACTTTTTCGCATTCAAAAGATATATTTTTTTGTTTCTTTTGATTAAATTGCATCCAGTGAAAGTTAATATTGAGTGTTTCGGTTAAATAGTTTTCTAAAATATTACTCAAAGATGCCCAAAATCCTCTCTGTAAAACGTTTTGCATTTAATATATCAACAAATAAACTGTGATTTTCCAGCTTTAATGACGCACATATATGTATTTATTCCTGTAATCCAAAAAGTTGAATTTGTTGACACTGAGTTGGTTCTCATTTGATCTGGTTTATTTGTAATCTAGACTTGCTTTGGTCCTGTTTTAATCCTGGTTTAGTCCTAAAGTGTGATCATCGCCAAAATGATATTTTTATATGTTTTCTGTCTCTTCTTAAAGGTGGACTGTGTAACTTTTTGGTTGGATATGTCATTGCTCTGCTTAGAATGTTCCACAGTATGACATTAAACAGCTCTGCCTTATATTTATTCAATTATAGGTGGATTTATCACTCAAAAACGCCTAGAAAAACATTCATTCTGACTGTGAGTGGGGTCACCTCTCCACAGATCTGACCTGTAAATTAGTCTGGTTTGGTCTCCTTGAATATAGAAAAGTTTAATACAATATTGTGAAACATTTCAGACAAATCCATTAACATTTTTTTGGAGACAGTTACACATTGCACCTTCAAAAACAACAATACACATACATCACTTCACTTTTTTATTGTTATATAGATCTATTATTCTATTATATTCAGCATATTTCTTCATTTCTTCTTTTTTTCCTTTGTAGAAACTGACCAACATGCGAATAATGAAGGAGAACATGAGAACAGGGAACCTTCCAGCCAACATGAAGAAAAACAGAGTGCTGCAAATCATCCCATGTAAGTACACAACACTACTGATACTGTAGTTACTCCAATAATACAGACCCGAGGTGAAAATGAGGCAATAAGATGGAGATTAGTGTTTTAAATTTTTCATATTTTGCTCAGGTTTTCTCAATTTTCTAGTGCGGTGAAGTAAAACTATTGGATACAAAAATGTAAAAAAGTCATCGTAAAACTGTCACAGCTTTAAATATTCTCTATTGCAATCCTTCTGAAGAGTTTAGATTATGGTCCTGAAAAAGTTTTTTGTCATCCAGATGCCCCGTCAAGTGAATCCAGTGCTTCCAAAAAGTTTCATTAAAGGTGCACTGTGTAACTTTTTCTGGAGGGTTTGCCACCTGCAGGTCTAGATAGAGATGTTTTGTTTGTTTTTTGCCTAGAATAATCCCTAATATTGCTTTACACTTACATATTTCCAATTACAGGTCAGATTTGCGGAGAGGTGACCCTGCTCAGTGTCAGCTTTTGTAGTTCATGTAGTTGAATAAATGCAACATAGCTAAGTTTAATGCCATACTCTGGAATATTTTAGGCCAAGGGTGTCAAACTTAAATTCACAAAGGGCCAAAATTAAAAACTGGGACTAAGTCGTGGGCCAAACTAAATATCTATTGAAAATTTTCAATAACATTTGCATTTTCTCTCTTCTGTTGAGATATGTAATGTTAAACCTTTTCTTATTAAAATAAATGTTTGATAATAATTTTACTTAAACACTGAATCCAGAACAAGCATAATATAAAATAATAACTACATTTTAAATAAATAATGTATTAATAATGTATGTAAATAATGTAATGTATCTGTAGCGGGGGGGAAGTCTAATACTTATTTGATATAATCTTGTGGCCAAATATAATTATATCGCAGGCCAAATTTGGCCCCCAGGCCGGAGTTTGACATGTCTGTTTTAGACAGAAGAATAACATACATGGAGACAAGTTTGTTGCAAACACTCCAACAAAAACTGTAACTTCGGTGTATAATTGAAGGTGCATTCTGGTGGAACGTTTGTCACCTTGTTTGTTTCTATGGAGATGTCATTGCTCCGGAATGTTCCACAGTATGACTTTAAACAGATCTACCTTACATTTATTCAGTTACAGGTGGTTTTATAGCTCAAAAATATCTAGAAAAACAGGCATTAACAATAAAAAAGCAATAACATATCGATGGAGAAAAGCATTTGACAGATCTTCCCCTCCACCAGAAAAGTTACACAATGCACCTTTAAGTAAATTGGGTCCTGATTTAGTCCAGGTTTAGTTCTGGTTTAATTAATCTTACTTGACTTAATCCCAGTTTTGTCCCAGTTTATATGACGTTTATTTAAGTATGACTTGATCTCCAGTTGCCTACATCTCCACACATGTAATCAGGGGTTCCGGTTCTGATTCAGAGTACTGTTTTTTACGTAATCTCCCTCCGGTCCATGAACACACCCCAGCGTGAGCATGTTTTTCCCATGTGCTTTGAATGGTTCTGAGGTATTTCCTGTGTGTTCTGTTTCAGACGACTTCAACCGAGTCATTCTGTCCATGAGGAGGGGTCAAGAGTTCACCGACTACATCAACGCCTCATTCATAGATGTAAGAGCAATGTACAGGCTATACTACTACTACTATTACTACTGCTACTACTGGTAGTACTACTACTGCTGCTGCTGCTACTACTACTACTATTACTACTACTACTACTCCTATTACCGCTACTAATACTACTGCCACTGCTATTACTACTATTATGACTACATCAACGCCTCATTCATAGATGTAAGAGCAATATACAGGCTATACTACTACTACTGCTGCTGCTACTACTACTACTCATTACTGCTACTAGTACTACTGCCACTGCTATTACTAATATTACAACTACATCAACGCCTCATTCATAGATGTAAGGGCAATATATAGGCTATACTACTGATAATACTACCACTGCTAATACTGCTACTGCTGCAACTACTACTTCTACTATTACTATTATTGCTACTAGTACTACTGCCACTGTAGTAGTAGTAGTAGTAGTAGTAGTAGTAGTAGTAGTAGTAGTAGTAGTAGTAGTAGTAGTAGTAGTAGTAGTAACAGCTAGTACTGTTCTACCACTACTAGTAGTAGTGCTGCTGCTACTACTACTACTACTACTATTATTACTGCCACTGCTACTGCTGCTGCTGCTGCTGCTACTACTACTACTACTACTACTACTATTACTGCTACTACTGCTACTGCTGCTGCTACTACTACTACTACTGCTACTGCTGCTACTACTACTACTACTACTACTACTACTACTACTACTACTGCTACTACTGCTACTGCTACTGCTGCTACTACTACTACTACTACTACTACTACTACTACTACTACTACTACTACTACTACTACTACTACTATTACTGCTACTACTGCTACTGCTGCTACTACTACTACTACTACTACTACTACTACTACTATTACTGCTACTACTGCTACTGCTGCTGCTACTACTACTACTACTACTACTACTACTACTACTACTACTACTACTACTACTACTACTACTATTACAACATTCACTTGTTCTATTTTATACCCACCAATTGCTTTTCACTGATTACATCAACGCTTCATCCATAGTAGTGGGGTATACTATTACTACTACTACTACTACTACTGCTACTACTACTACTGCTACTACTACTACTACTGCTACTACTACTGCTACCTCTTCTGCTTCTATTATTACTACCACTACATCCACCAGTTATTGTCCATGCCTCCTACATTGATTTAAGGGCAATATATACTGCTACTTCTGCTACTATTACTACTACTACCCCTTCTTCTACTACTACTACTATTACTACTACTTGGTCACAATATAGAGCTGCTGCTGCTACTACTACTACTGCTTTCATCACTTGTTCTCTGTTATACTCAGCATTAATATTCAACAACTACATCAATTCTTCCTTCATACGTGTAAGGGCAATCTACAGCCATTACTACTACTACTACTACTACTACTGCTGCTTCTCTTACTACTTCTGCCACTACTCAGTCTCAACATAACCTCAAATTTGAAGCCTTGAATACTACCGCTACTACTAGAAAACTAATAATAATAACATGTTTTACAGATTTTACAGATACAGATTTAAATTTTACTACTATTGCTTACTATACGTTTTTTGCAATACTTTGTCATATGTCTGCAGTATCTTTCATCATTTTCCCACAGCCTTCTCTTCACATTGTGCATTAACGTCCAAGTTCAGTCTCATCTTTTTGTAATCCTTCCTTACTCTCTCACTCAGTCTGTAAAATAACACTGTAATTTGACGTGGCCGTTTTGTGTTTTCAGGGTTACAGGCAGAAGGACTACTTCATAGCGACTCAGGGCCCTCTGCCGCACACAGTCGAGGACTTCTGGAGGATGGTCTGGGAGTGGAAGTGTCACTCTATTGTAATGCTCACAGAACTCCAGGAGAGGGAGCAGGTGAGCTGAGTATGGAATATGCACACAGAGAAAAACAATGCTGGGAATGGTATTGGAATATTATAGGAACTCACAGTGTAAATACAACATTTCAGAACTAGTCTCAAGATACAAGCTACTATCCATAATGCAACAATATAAATATACAACATAACTGTACTGTAATTAAATAAGAAAAGAAAAAAAACAACTGTTAAACTTGATAAATTTAGACCACTTTATTTCAGTTTCAAGCACTTTTTAAGGACTTTTCACTATTCAGAATATAATAGTTTGTTTTAAGTTGTTAAATGAAATGGTATGGTCCTAATTCAAATTTTTTCAACATTTAGAAACCCATAATAAATAAAAGAAATACACATAGTCAAGTCAACATTGTAAATAACACTAGCACTGTGTAACTTTTTCCATAGAAACCAAATTTTATGAGAACGTAATCCTCTTTAACAACTTAAGATAATGTACTTTCATTAGACAACATTTAAATACAATAAAATATATTTGTGTATGAAAACATAAAAGGAAAATTTTAAAAGATAGACCTATACTACTACTACTATACTTATACCCTAATTTCTGTTTAATTGCTTTGTTAATGTGTTTTTCATGTGTGTTTTTGTTTGCAGGATAAGTGTTGTCAGTACTGGCCCACAGAGGAGGCTGTTTCTTACGGGGACTTCAGAGTGGAGCTGAAGGCTGATACTCTGTGTGATACTTTCAGCCTCAGAGACCTGGTACTCTCCTACGTGCCGGTGAGAATTCTACACTCTCAAGTAAAACTTATTTATATAGCACTGTTGAAGCTGTAGAGATGATCTGCACTTAGAAACAAACTTAAACTGATAAACCAGATAAATCAACAGGACACAGAGGAATGGTCAAGGAAGTTTGTTTCCATGTTTGCTTAAATTTAAAGAGAAATAACTTTCCTGCAGCCTCTTTGTCAGTCAAAAAGGAAAGATTAGTTAATGCCATACTGCGGGACATTTCAGGCAAAACAAAATAACATTCTTACAGAGACAAGGAGATGGCCAATCCTCTGAGAAAAAGTGCATGTCCACAATTGTATTTATTTATGATGTAATTTTCTTTTTTTCTTCCATGTTATAACTTTAGTCCATTATCAAAAACATGCCACAAGAGCTTTTAGAACTTTCATCCATACATGTTTGAGTAATTTAGCGATCTCCCCCAGGCCCTATTAAAACCCTCCTTACTGTTAGATGTAGGATTTTGCCCAATCCTCCACACACAACCCAACGTCACCCATGCTACAGTTGGACAATTTTCCAAAAAGATACGTAAGAATGCTACAAAACTGTACACAACAAAACAACAAACAAAAGTGAAACGTAAATTTAAAATAAAACATGTTGATATGTTGTTTTCGCCAAATACAGCATCTTCAAAACATTAAACGGTAACACAGTGATCTAAATATTTGCAGTTTACTTAAAATTATTAAATGCATTTTTGAAAACGATATTCTTGGAAAAATTCATAGCACACTTAGATGACCGGTGTCCGAAACAACTGTTACCCAAAGCAAGAAAAATGATCTGACGAAGGCTTTTTGCCGAAACGTAATCTAAAATAAAAAATAAATAAAGAAGTTTTGGATCGTTCATCTGAGTTTGTCATGCATTTTTTCACTTTAATAGCTGCATTTGCACTTCTATGAGAACTTCTTTTTCATTTGAAAATAGTATTTTAACATAATTTTCAAACTGAGTTATTGCCTGAATCTGTTTTGCATTTTATACTGTATCTGTTTCCTGTGAAGCTTTAATTACTGAGTTTTTCATAGTAACTAAAGATTCAAAAAAATAGTTTATTAAAAGTTGAAGATGTTTTGCCTCTTACCCAAGAGGCTTTATCAATTCAAATTTATTTATGTATCAATAAAAAACAACCGAAATAGCTACAAAATAAATGGGATGACACGACAATAAAATGCACATCAGGTCCCGTTTCATGAAATGTGATTTGAAGCACAGCTGCGTGTTAGGGGCTAATATTTCAGACGAAAATCAAACTTGTGGAGTTAATCTTGTTGAAGCACTCAGAAAACTGTTAGTAAGTGCGTTATGTTCACAAATGGACCCAGAGCTTCGTGAGTCAGCAGCAGTTTGAAGTGAAGACGATTTCCAAATATAACTCCGTGTTTTACCCCGACAACGACTAGAATTCTGATTCATATTTTTATTTGATTTTATTTCTTGTCTTGATCAATTTTAAACACTTCACCTCATTTTGAAAGGCCCATTGAGTCTCTTCTCTCACTTTATTGTTGCATCGTGATAGAAAAACAACTGTCTGGGCTAGTCTCACGCAGTTGCTTCTACATGGTTCTCACCCGACAGTGAGAACCTTGGAGACTCAACTCACGCCTGGAGGATACTTAATGTTTCTAATAAAATAAATATAACACAATACAATAATAAAAATATAGAGGCAATTTTATTTGTCTAATATACTTTTCAAATTACAATTTAGTTGCTACTTTCTGCTTTGCATATTACATAATTAAAATTTAAAGGTGCACCATGTAACTTTTCTGAAGGAGGAAAAACATGGCATTCTTACGGTGAGCGGTTACACCTCTCCACAGATCAGACCTGTAATAGAGCCCTGCACCCACGGGACACATTTTTAAAGCTCACTGTGGGCGCAGGCATGAGTGCAGTTTATCATCCCACCTGCCCACACTGTGCAGTCCCACAAACTAAATATGCAAATGATTAATGTATGCTCATCATACATCATATGTGCTTGCGTTAGAACTTAAGAAAGCAGGATTTGCGGGCAGGAGCAGGACTGAAAATTCACAGCTCTTCACTGATTGGCCGGTGCGTGGTCTACAACTTCCGGGGTTCTTGCAAATCGTCTAGTGCAGGGATCTCCAAACTTTTTCCTCTGGGGAGCTACTTTTACAAACTGAAAATGCCAGAGAGCTTCTCATTTTGGCAGTCACAGAAAACTAGAGTAAATATAAAAGCCTTTGATGAGGTACAGTTTGAAGCCTTAAACATTTACAGAACTGTTATCCATTAATTAGTGCACAAAAATAGGCATCAGAATGATACAACAACAATGGTAATAGGCATTTAAATAAATCAAATTTTAGTTATTTAGCACAATATGTATGATTCCGAAATCCCTTGCTGAACTACTTGGAAAGGGGGGAGAGCTACTGGTAGTTCCCGAGCTACAGGTTGGAGACTCCTGGTCTAGTGTATTCTGATTCCTGACCTTGTCGCTTTAGAGAAATGAAATGAAGCAGAGGCACTAGGTAAATTAATGGGTTAGTACTCGCAAAATACAGCCTTAGACAAAAACGAATTGAAAGTACTTTATAAATACTAACAAAGACGTAATTAAGCAGTTATTATGCATTTTACTATTAACTATCTATTAATATGTGGTCCCTAATCAATAATACAATATTTGTCTATGTGTTTATCAAACTCAACTACCACGCCCACTTTACATTGTTATTCCAGATGTAGAACGAGACAATAGCTTTAATCTGACTCCTCTGTACACGAGCTGGGAGCGGAAATGTACCAGGATGTCTTTAAAGTCATTAGGTTGGCCCCGCCCCTCATAAAGCGGCGGGGTTAATTTGATTGGCCGCACACACCTCTCTACTTCCTGCTCCACTTATCCTCTGTTAGGGGCTGATCTCTCCGCGCTGCTCCCATTAGGACACATATAGCCAAGGTAAATCTCATTTCAAAGGTATTCTGATCCCCGACGTGAACGCGCACTTCCTCCCCAGAGGTGGCAGTAATGAGTTACATTTACTCTGTCATATTTGTTTGAGTAACTTTTAGATAAATTGGACTTCTGAGAGTACTTTTATCACTTAATACTTTTAATTGACTTACATACAATATTCTATACATATTGAAATATCGTGAAGTTTGTTGTTGTTTTGTCTAATTAGATGCGTCCAGTGTCTAATCAGTCAAGTTTTATGATTATAGTTGCTGCTACAATATATTTAAAGCCACAATATGTGACGTTTTAGCTTTAAAAAAAAAAAGGCTAAAATTAAATTGTTGTAGTAGTTTTGTTTTTTTGTTTTGTTTTGTTTATTGCACTGAAAAACATGCTTTGAGAGGACTTTATCTCGACGGAGAATGTTCTGAAATATGGTTTTATCCAATCCAATCCAACTTTATTTGTATAGCACATTTTATAAACAAAACTGCTTCCAAAGTGCTTCACATAGTAATATAAAACATCCCACTTCCAAAAAAAAATCAGCTGAATTATGTTTCAAAAATAAGGAAACCAACAGAATAAATAAACAAAATAATAACAATAAAATCAATGAACAAAAACAACAAATCAATACATAAAAGCAGTACCAAAAAATGAAATAGATAAAAACAATAAATAAATAAATGAAAGAAAAGAAATGAAATAAAATAAAAGAAAAATTAAATAAAATAAGAAGAAATAAAATACAATTTAATAGAATAAAATAAAAAGAAATAAAATTAAATTAAATAGAATAAAATAAAATAAAAAGAAATGAAAATAAAAACGAAACGAAACACAGAGGACCACACAACTCACAGAGAATAAATGTGGGTCTGAAGTGGGTTTTAACTAGGAATGTAACGATATCCAAATCTCACGATACGATATTTATTGCGATATTTTGAAGAGGCTTATATAATTGTCGATAGTACACGTTTCGGCTTTTAAAATACCTTGACAAGATTTTGGTGTGAATTATTTCCATCATAATCCCAAGAATTCAAGTAAAAAACATATTTCTTCATGTTGTCTGCGCTGAAATGAATCATGGGATATGTAGTTCCCGATGTTTATAAGATGTTGCTACTATAAAACCTTGAATTTAAGCAAAGGAACTTGTAATTCGATATATTGTGACAGCCCACGATATTATTGTGAGACTTTTGACGGTACAATATCACAATATTTCAGTTATTGTTACATCCCTAGTTTTAACTATATATTTGACGCGACACCTCTAGAAATGTATACTATATATATATATATATACTGTAAGTTTTTTAAAATATCTGATATTTAAATTCTGTTTTGAACTATAACAGAGTAGCAGTGGGGTCTTAAAAGTCTTTAAAAGGTCTTAAATTTCATGTTTCTAAATTAAGGCCTTAAAAAGTCTTAAATTATGTTGTCCAAGTCTTTTTTTTCACAAAGGTCTTAAGTTTCATTAGCCTATTTTTTTATATACTCAACCGGGCTGTTTGCAATGTTAAATGGAGGGAGGAAAAAAAAAGTGAAATCTCGTAACATGAATGAACGTTTAATTTGGAGTATGCACAAACAATACAATATAATATTTACTTTAATACAATAGTTTGTCTTGTTAGAATGTTATAAATGATTTTTTGGGCCTTTTTTACAAGCAATTTCAACTACTATAAATGAGTTCTGAATGAGATTTCATAATAAAAGTTTTTTTTTTAAGTTTTTTTTTTTGTTATTTAAAGCAGCGAGTAATGGTCATTATTAGAATTGGATCTGGTGTTTTCTGCCCGCATAATGGATGTGATGTTGGTCTTAATTTTTATTTAAGTGGTCTTAAAAAGGTCTTAAAATGTCTTAAATTTGGGGTAGTCAAACCTGGGGATTCTCTGTATAAAAGTGATCTATCAAATAATCATGATTCTATTATTACCCATAAAAAATCTCTACTTCTACTTGAGTAATGTCCCACTGTAAAAAATACTTCTAAATACTTTCTAAAGACAATACAGTAGGAGATGTATTTGCTTTGTTGAACTGTTTTGGAAATATGTCAACAAAGTAAATACATCTGTTATAATGAGAAGAAGTTAATGTACAACAGACAAATAAATTTTAGTTTTTGGATTGGTTTGAAACTGCTATTAATCAGTTACACTTCAGACCTGGTAAAAATTAGACAGAATATTTTTTTTCTTCTGTGTTCATGAAGCTGTAACTACCTTGCATAATGTTGTGTGCACATTTTACCCTCTGTCTCTCTGTGTGTCTCTCTGCAGGAGAAGCAGACCCGCCTGATCCGTCACTTCCATTTCCACGGTTGGCCTGAGATCGGGATCCCGGCCGAGGGCAAAGGAATGATCGACATCATCGCCGCTGTACAGAAGCAGCAGCAGCAGTCCGGAAACCACCCCATCGTCGTACACTGCAGGTAGACTACCAAATATAAATACAAAAGGAGAAATAGTGTTTGGATAAAAGGTTAAACTGACTCCTTGTCCAGCAGTGTTTTAAAAGTCCGATCTATTTTTGTATTTTTAGTTTTCGTTATTGTAGTGCTCAGAGGAACATCTAAATTATAATTATAAAACAATATTGGAAACACTATTCATATTACAGAAATGAAAACTACAAATAATTCATAAAGCTGAGTTTTATGACCACACCAACCAGCTATTTATGACTTCAAAAATATTAAAACTTAAGGATCTGATAAGCTTCCATACAGCAAAAATAATGTACAAGGCAGAAAGGAAAGAACGACCAAAAAATATTTAGAAACTTTTTACTGAAAGAGAAAATATTTACAATTTAAGGGGAATTCATCTCTTTAAAATAGCCAGAGTCTGTACGACAAGAAAAAGTAGTTTGTTTTTTTCAGTTTATAAGGTCAAAATCTGGAACTCTACAAGTGATGAGCTCAAAAAATGTCCCAATATGAAAATGTTTAAACATAGATATAAAGAAATGTTTATAGCTATGTATGCAGAAGAAGGAATTTAAGTTTATTTGTCATCTAAATGTAAACTACACTATATTTATTTTTGTATCTGGAGTCATGTGACTTACTATAAGAGTCTGACAGACACACATTATTGTTTTAATGGGATTATAAAAGGGGGTGGGTGTAGATAAGCGTTGTTTCTTCCTACTCCTTTTCAGAATGACTGATTTTTTATTTATTTTTATTTTATTTTGGAGATTATAGTTTTGATGAGCAATGTAAAATAATTGCCTTTATGTATCTGCTGATTACTGCATAATAATATAGTTTATCATTTATGGAAACATCTGAATAAACTGATCATCATCTAAAAACACCAGCGCTACTAGCAAAGGATTTACTGACACTCGGACCTGTGCTCAGAATAAATGAACTGTTGGATGAACTGTGGGATTACACAGCAGATGGCCTGAGGTACAGTTAGTGCTCCAGACAAGACTGTGGCAGTGAGTGGGACTGAAGTGTAGTGACATTGTACATTGTGGTGTACAGTATAATCTATGTGTGGTCACTAGGACGACAGCTAATGATATAATGAGAAACATAAAGGAAAAACTGTTGTGCTCATTTGATGTGTGTGCTCATTCTGACTCAGCAGTGATTACAATAGACAGTGTTTGTGGAGAATATTCAGCACAGCTCATGTTCTAAGAAAACTGAAAACTGTTTGATCATGCCTCACTGCACCTCTGCAGATGCTTACAGGTGCGTGCAGGTGCGTGCAGGTGCGTGCAGGTGCGTGCAGGTGCGTGCAGGTGCGTGCAGGTGCGTGCAGGTGCGTGCAGGTGCGTGCAGGTGCGTGCAGGTGCGTGCAGGTGCGTGCAGCGGCTGAGGCTGTGTACAGGCACTTTGCCATTTTTACTGATAGTTGTATTTGTGAATATGAGAGACTGAAGGCCTCTGAGAGCATGATTCACCACTGGGTTCATCAACTCTTCTATAATTACTTTATACGTTTATAACAATAACTTATTATAACAGTACTTTATTATCACAGGCTTTAGTGCAGCCTTTTTAAATATAATTTTACTTAAGGTTTACACGAGAACGCTTGCGGGTAAAAACGACAAAATCTTTTATCGGAAGTGTCTTTCGTTTAGATGGTGACGGCGTTTTGGGGCTTAAAAACATAAAAATCTGAAACCACCCTCCAGAGTGGAAAAGTGTTTCCGTCTACACTGTCCAAGACACAAAACTGTGTTCAGATTTGCTCAGGTCGCGTACATGTTTATGTCACATACATACAGTACACAGAAACCTGGCGTTCATACCCACTTTCACACTCTTTTGCGTCAGTGTATGCACGCAGATTTTCTCCCAAAACCACTCATCTAAACGCGGAATTAAAAGTGAAGATTCGCCGCCACTTTTGCGTCTTCTGTTCAGACCATCATCATATAAAGGCAGCCTTACATTAAAAGAAAGATACCACTGTTGAACTTTTCCAGCTTGGGTGTCCTCATCTGTAAAGTTATTCAGACCATACATCTGTAAAGACCCAAAAATCTTACTTGCCTCCTTTTCTTTCCATCCCTCTCGCCTGCCTTGTGTCCTTGTGTCCCCCCTCACCTGTCTCGCCTGTCTCTCCTTCACCTGTCTCACCTGTCTCACCTGTGTCGTGTCTCTTACAGCGCTGGTGCAGGGAGGACAGGTACTTTCATTGCTCTCAGTAACATCCTGGAGAGGGTCAAAGCCGAGGGACTGCTGGACGTGTTTCAGACCGTCAAGAGTTTACGTATGCAGAGGCCTCACATGGTCCAGACTGTGGTACGTACATGCACACTCGTTAAAGCTACACTGCGGAACTTTCCTGGGGGAGGGGTAACCACCTGAGTGAAGACCATGGAGATTTATTGCCTTGGAAAGCAAAGCAATAACATGTCCTTGGAGACAGGTGGCAGACACTCCTCCAGAGAAATTCACCACACTTTCACGGAAAACTGTATAATAGAGAAAAAAATGACATGAATTTTATTTATCCATTCATGATCAGTCCGTGTTTCATCCGTTCATTCGTTTTTCAAAATAAAACCCAAAATAAGAAAACAAAAAATGACTTCTTCATTATTTGTCTCCAAAACCAAAATGAAAAAAACTGATAAGGATTTTATTTATTTATTTATTTATTTATTTTTTTTCAGTTTTCAATTTTGTGCTTAAATAAAAAATGATAACGGCGATTTCCTGTTTCCATGACTTAAACTGTGATGCTGAACTTTTGCATGACATATGGACTGAACCAGGATTAAACCAGGACTAAACCAGGTCTAAACCAGGACTTAACCAGGAATTAACCAGGAATTACCCAGGAATTAACCAGGACTGAACCAAGACTAAACCAAGTCTAAACCAGGTCCAAACCAGGTCCAAACCAGGTCTAAACCAGGTCCAAACCAGGTCTAAACCAGGTCTAAACCAGGTCTAAACCAGGTCTAAACCAGGACTAAACCAGGACTAAATCAGGACTAATCTTGGACTTGAGAGAGAGAGAGATGGGACCCCGAGCAAAAACGCGATCTGGCGACAGCTGCACTTAGCCCCGTTCCGGTCTTTTCTCTGAGCCCATCTCGACTCTCAGTCCTGGTTCAGTTCTGGTTTAGTCCTGTCTTTGTCCTGTTTTAGTCCTAATTCATTTCTGGTTTAACTGAACAGTCCTGGTTCAGTCCTGGTTCAGTCCTGGTTTCAGTCCAGCATCGCAGTTTAAGTCACGGAATCAGGAAACGGCCATTTCTGTTTTGGTTTTTTCCCATTATTCATTTAAACACAAAATCAAAAACTGAAAAAACTGAATCATTATCTGTTTTTTCATTTTGGTTTTGGAGACAAATAATGAATAAAATAGTTGTTTTTTCATTTTCTTATTTTGGGTTTTACTTTGAAAAGCAAACTGATGAATGATACACGGATTATGATCACAATTTCATTTATAAATTAGTTGATTTGTTGAATGATAATTTCATTTTCAGCACCGTAACACCGTTGTTTCTTCTTTTTTACTTTTCAGGAACAGTACGACTTCTGCTACAAGGTGGTACAAGACTTTGTGGACATTTTCTCAGACTATGCCAATTTTAAATGACGAAATTTGCCTTAAAAACATAATTTGTAATGTTATTTTCTAAAAGCTGTTTTTGTGTTTCTTTAACTGGTCTAAATGATCTTCTATTTTGCTATGCACTTGTCCTTCTCCTGGTCACTAAACCGCCCCTCCCTGCTGTACTATAGTGTATGTTAGTGGAAACAACTTGTACATTGAAAAAGTCTATGTATATTTCACATTATGTATGATAATTTGACCCATTTTGTCCCATTGTATAGTATGTATTTTAATGTTCATTGCATTGATAATTATTTTAAGACTTGTAGTTATTGTAAATGTATTTATGTTCCAATTTTGACAGGAATGTATGGATTGTTACCTTGTTTTTTCAATGTAATAACAACTTGCTTTTTATCGAATTTGAGCTAAAAATCGACAAAGTTTAACATTGAGCTATGAAACAATTTGTGAATGTGATAGTTTCTCTCACCGAAGCCATATTCGACAGACAGGCAGGAGTTTTCTTAAGAGTCGTAGTTTTTGGGATTTTAAGTGCAGTTGTGTGGGGCACTGGTCAAAGCAACATTTTAGATTTAAAAAGTGGTTCTGGATCGATGTTAAGAGCACTTAGTTAAAGGTAATCGCACGCAGCAACATGGATTCTAGTGATATTTGTGAGCTGACAGGTGGTGGGCCGACCAACCACGTCTCAACCCAAACGACCAAAACAAAAACAAAAATTCAGACAAATTCAGCCAAAATACAGATTATTTTGTTGTGAAAAACATGCAGAAGGAAGAGCTTTGTGCATTTGTGGACAGGGGGAGATAGATGTCTGTGCTTTTCTCTCTTTCTTTCTTGATTTTTGGCTTGTCCCGTTTTTGTGACGCTTCCATCAATCAAATTCGAACATTCATCTTGACGTTCCAGTTTTTCCGATTGTTTTCAGCCGTTCCAGATCGATAATGTGTAGAACTAGAATTCAGAGTGACACACAGGTCAGTCTTGCAATTAAAGGAGCACTATGTAACTTTTCTGGCGAAGGGTCTGCCACCTGCTTGTTTCCATGGTAATTTTAGTGCCTGGCTGTGAATGTTCCACAGTATGGCAGTATCTCTTTACATGGAAACAACCAGGTGGCACCACTGTGTTATTTTAAAGGTAAGTTAAAGTTTAATCAGGTCAATCACTTCAAGAATCATGCATTGGAAACTTGCTTTTTGGCGCCACCTAGTGCCTCTGCTTAATTTCATTTCTCTCCAGCAAATAGGTCAGGAATTAGAATAACCCTGGAAGTTGTAGACCGCGCACCGACCAATCAGTGAGGAGCTGTGAAGCCATGACATCAAACTGAAGCGTCTGTCTGGGTCCCTTTTGTGGTACAACACGACAGTTAACGAAGCGATCGAGATGGACGTAGACGAAGACAAACATTCTGTGTCGGCAACGATTCCCGAGATCGAGGATTTAAAGCCGAAACAAAGAGAATGTTTGGTGAATTTTATCAAGGGGAAAGACATTATTGCCCTTCTTCCCGCGCGATTTGATACATTACATACGTCACGACCAAATAGCAGCGATTCGTTAAATTAAAAAAGTACCCGCCTACAGTCGAGCGAATGAATCCTAATGCTGCGAGGTTAGACGGTTTCCACGACGTGAAACCGACTGATGAATCAGGCTATTAGTACAGCAGCTGTTTAGTGTCTGCGATGCCTTTGAACTCTTAATATCTGAATGGGAAAAATTCATGAAAAACGTACTTCTGGAACCAGAGTGAACTTCGAAGTTGAGCTCCATAGAGTTCTGTTATGTTAATTTCAACCAAGCCATATGCTGTCTGTTGATCAGGCAGATTTGGTAGATCAAGAAATACAAAATGAAAGCTACAGTGACGTCTTCCTCCACATATACTGTTAAGACTAGTGCCCCAGTCAAAACAACTTCAAAATCCTGAACTAGTAAAGGTTCTATATTACGCTATTTTCTGATCTATGTTATAATGTTGTTTGCTGATGAAAAACATACACGAGGTTTTGTTTGTTTTGTTTCATTCACACATGTTTAACACACAAACCCTGCATATTTAGACTGAGTTCTGCTCTCAAACAGAAAACACGTCGTTGCACTTTGCGACGTCACGTTGCTCCACTGTGTTTTAAACTTCATTCACCTTCACTTAGAATCATTTGGATAATTTTTGCTCTTGAATTTCCACTCTCTACTAAACAAAAAGTAGCTGTTAACTTGAAAACTACCGCTTCACGACTGGAAAAAACGTGACATCACAAGGGGGAACGGAGCATTTTGAGCTTTGGAGATGTAAACAGACTCGCGTGAATGAAACAAAACACGACTCCAGGTGTATTTTTGATGAGCTACAACATTATAACATGTTTTAAAGTTTGCATTCGTCATTTTTGCGTAATATAGGACCTTTAAGAATTGTATTTTAGGCAGTTTGCAGCATCACTGGACTCGAACAGGAAAACTTAAAACACATATCTATGAACTAACTTGCTGTAACGTGCTTCATATCAACTCTTCTTTAGCTAAACTTTTCTAAATTAGTGCCGTTTTCTTTCATTGGACTTGATATAATGAGCGTAAGTTGAAATATTTACAATGTGAACACAGATCGATGCAGTAAAACAGGTCAGAGTCAAATGTATTGTATAATATAAGACCACAGCCCACAGTGGTGCTTCAGTGCCTGCCTATGCCAAAAGCACATATTCTCTCATCAGCAGAAATAATAAAGACTTGTTTTGGCTAATTATAAACTAAATGTGTTGAATTTTTAATTGTTGATTTATTGTAGTTGCCTTTCTTTGGGGCTTGGCTGGGGGATTTACGCTAATAATTCTACATTTTAAAGGTTTGGTACTATATATATATTAAAAAAAATGTCCTTAGCCCTTTTATATTGTATGACTGAAAATAATGTATTAATGGTGGATTATGTAACTTTTCTAACTGAAGGTCAGGGTTATGTTTGAGGAGATGAGGAGATGTTGTTACTTTGCCTGGAATGTTCCACAATATGTAATTAAACTGGAATATCTGACCTGTCTTCTGTCATAGGCATTAATTATTTTTATTGTATTTTATTTTTTATTTTTATTTGTATTAATTTAATTTGTTTATTTATTGTATTAGATTTTTTATTTATTTTTTTTATTTTAAGTTAATTTAATTTTATTTATTTATCTATTTATTTATTTAAATTGTATTTTTTTTTTTTTTTTTGTGGCCCCTGTGTCACTGCTTGTCTCCATGGATATACATAAGCTTAATGTCATACAGTGGAGCATTCTATATGAGGATGCATGTTTATTTAAAGGGATAGTTCGGATTTTTTGACATAAATCTGTATTTCATCCCCGTCATCAGTGTTGTGCATCCACACCGACTTACCCCCGAAAGTAGTTCCGTGATACTAGAGATCGCTTGGCTCTAGTATACTGGCCGCCAGGTGACAGCCGCGCACTGATCCATCACTTTCTTCAGTTGTTCGGCAGTGTTTACATGCGCAGACCGCCGCCACGCGAGAGAGCTAACGAGAGAGCTAACGAGAGAGCTAACGAGAGAGCTAGAGCCATAAGTATATGAGCTTGTATAAGATACATATGAATATATCTAAAAAATGGTGCGAACTCTTGATTATCCAGGCTGTAACAACAAAAATCTGGCTGAATCTCCACGCACATTTCACTGTTTTCCTGTCACGGACTTTGCGCTGAGGAAACTTTGGCTTCTTGTCTTTGGCTTCAATGTGGAAACGAAACCAGGTAAGAACGAAGAAGTGCCGCTACGTTTACAAGAGAACAGACTCAAGAATCAGCTGTAACTCTGTGTGCAGTAAATCACTCAGTGTCATATCACCAGTGAAGCTTCTACAAAACGTAACTTTATAAGTCGACTGTTATTACTATTGTAAATGTCACGTACACTATTGGTAGCAGCTACGTGGACGTGTGGATGATTCTATGTTTCTATTAGTCGTCCATACTTCAGTCACAGTGGAGGCTCTATGTTCGCTGTATACGAGTTTATAAATGACGTGATGGTGATTGTCGCTCACTCGGTCTCTCACGGCTCCAGCTTCAACTTGTACCACTTCTCTGTCTTTTCTCTTTCTCTCTGCTCGTTCTAACTCCATCTGGTGAAATTCGGCATCAGTATAATCGGGTTCACAAAGATCTCCCCTTGGGTTTGTGGTAAAGGCAAAGTCTTTATTGTCGGTGTCATAATCAGACATGTTGTCGCTAACATTCCGAGCAGTAAACAAAGTGAACCAGGCTCATATACTTATGGCTCTAGCTCTCTCGTTAGCTCTCTCGTTAGCTCTCTCGTTAGCTCTCTCGCGTGGCGGCGGTCTGCGCATGTAAACACTGCCGAACAACTGAAGAAAGTGATGGATCCGTGCGCGGCTGTCACCTGGCGGCCGCGCGCAGTGGTACGTACGGAGAGAAAATAGAGCCAAGCGATTATGAGGTCTGACTTTTTTGGCGACGATGGTTTTGTGATGCAAATGTATCACTCTTTTGAACACATATTGCTTTGAGGAGAAAAACGCTTTAGTATACAGTCCCCACACAACTTGCCGAACTACTTTCCTCAGCACCAAAACCGGCCAGTATCTCGGCTCACCGGACGCTTTCGGGGGGTAAGTCGGTGTGGATGCACAACACTGATGACGGGGATGAAATACAGATTTATGTCAAAAAAATCCGAACTATCCCTTTAAATGTGTAGAGTAAATCAGTTTAAATCAGGCTTAAATAGTAGCATGAGTGAAAGTTGTTTACTTTAAAAACACAGAGGAGCACTTCTGGAACCAAAAGTTTAAGAAACTATATTCAGGGCCACTCCTAACCTAAACATGTTTTTAATATAGAAAACACACGGTTAAAGCTAAATAAATGTCAGTTTCAGTATAGATTTTCTGTTTTTCCAGAGTCATCTGAACCACTCAAACAGTCTATGGAAACTTCCACAGGACTGCACCATACGTAAGGCTCAGAATAGTGGGACTCTCAATCAAAATCACTCCCAAATGTTTCAAAGGAAATCACTAATTACTCTCTCCATTTAACTTGTGTCTGATTCATGGAAACCGCAACAGCCACAGCATTTCATTTAAAACACTGTGGACTGAAACTGAAACTCCGCAGCTCTGTGTGATTAATACAACAAAAAGCACTGGTGCAAGAAAGCTGTAAGATTTTTGCCATTATCCAAAAGTTGCAGGCAAAAGTTGTCATCTGTGCAGTTATATGTAATATACATTCAGATTGTTTTATGTCTTGTGGAACAATCAAACTACCTATAGTCATGAGCTCTGGGTAATGACCAAAAGGACGAGATCATGGATACAAGCGGCTGAAATGAGTGGCTGGGCGCTCCCTTAGAGACAGGATGAGGAGCTTAGTCACACGGGAGGAGCTTGGAGTAGAGCCGCTGCTACCCCACATCAAGAGGAGCTTGAGATCTGTTCCGGATGCCTCCTGGGCGCCTCAACCGGGAGGTTTTCCAGGCATGTCCCACCAGAAGGAAGCCCAGGGAAAGACCCAGGACACAGCGGAGGGACTATGTCTCTGGGTTGGCCTGGGAACTCCTTGCAGTCCCCCCGGAAGAGCTGGAGAAAGTGTCCGGGGTGAAGGAAGTCTGGGAGTCCCTGGTTAGACTGGCCCTGGATAAGCGGAAGAAAATAGATGGATGGAACAATCAGACACTTAAAGGTTCTATATTACACAAAAATGCTTCTTCTAAGGTTTAAGTCATGTTAAAATGTTGTTATCTCCTCAAAAACATACCTGGAGTTGTGTTTTGTTTCATTCACACACATTTATCTTTGAATTATTCTTTATGTGTTATTAGTCTGTCTACATCTCCAAAGCTCAAATTTCACTGTTGCACTTTGTCATGTCATGAAGTTTATAAGTTAACAACAAACTTTTACCTTTTATTTCAGTAGAGAATGGCAATTCCAGGGCTGAAATTATTCAAATTTTGTAGTGATTCTAGTGAAATGAAACAAAACACAACTCCAGGTCTGTTTGTGATGAGGAAATAACATAACATCGATCAGAAAATTGTGTAATATGGGCTCTTTAATAACCACATTGTTGAGTTGTCATTAAAATAATTATCCTATGCACTTATATAAAGTAATATACAGATGGTTTTATGTCTTAGTATGTTCATTTTTTTCAAGAACACATCTGCATTTGACCCTTGATCCTTCAGTGCTGCTGTTAGGAGTAGTGGGGACCCATCTCCTGATCTTGATCAGGATCTACCTTCGCTGGAGGATTGTCTTCTGTGCATGTTTTGAGTTGATGGGAGAAACCAGACAAAACCCATGAGACAAGGTAACCAATTCCACCAACAAAGAGTTCAAAGTTTGCTGTAATATAACACAGTGATTATAATGAAGGTGCATGGAGTTTAAAAACACAGTGGAGCACGTCCTTTTTTACCACATGAACTCAGCCTAAATATGCAGGATTTGTGTTTAAAATGTGTAAATTAAATTAAAACACAACTCCAGGTTTGTTTGTGATGAAGAAACAACATTATAACATAGATCAGAAAATAGCGTAATATGGGCACTTTCAATGTGGAATTATTTTTGAACTCCTATAATTTACCAAAAGACGCAAAGAAAAAAAAACTAGTATTTAATAACACAAAAATAAATAAATAAATATGTAATCATTTGTAACCAACAGGTGGCAGTGTAGACCTTTATCCATTACTGCTTGAGTGAATTAAGTCTTAATGATTATACAATGTGGTTTATTCGACTGTAAACCAAGTGTAACTTTTAAAGAGATTAAAGTCATGGTTTGCATCCTTCACATGGGAATCATTATCTGTAAAAAAGAAAAGAAAAAAAAGCGTGATGATTTATACAAGCTGTAATGAAAAAACAAGCCTGTAAATGTAAGTCTGATTACATCCATATGAGCAACAGAATCACAAATGTTCTGGAAAAAAAAGTATTAAATATACTAACCTCTACGTATACTTATCTTATTATTATTATTATTGTTTAAAGCCATAGTATGCAACTTTTTTCCAAAAATAGACTACAGTAAAATCATGTTTGTTATGAACGTTTTTGTTACACTGAAACAGATACAAGGGGGCTTGCATCTCCACAGACCTGATTCTTATTTGGTCTGCTTGTTTCCATGGAAATAATTGCTCCTTTGGCAATAATATTTCACAGTATGGCATATAACTTTAAACATAACAGAATCCAGGCAAGAATAAAAAATCATAGTGGGAGAAATATAGTTAAAAGGCCTTTATTTAGATGGCCAAAGCCAACATGTTTCGATCAAACTGGTCTTCATCAGGGCTTACCCTGCATTCCATTATCTTCCCACTCCCACTTGGACCTCGGATTTGACGTCATGTCCGAGCTTGAAGCGTATTTCGCGTGTCGGACTCGGAGAATAGCGTGTAGCCTCATTACAACACCGACTACCCAGACCCACAAGCAGTGGAGACTGGAGTTGATTAGAGGCATGCATATATATATATATATATATATATATATATAATATATATATATATATATGTTATATATGTGTGTGTATATGTATATATATATGTGTGGTGTGTGTATGTGTATATGTATATGTATATATGTATATGTATATATATATATATATATATATATATATATATTTATTTTTTATTTTATTTTTTTTCTTCACAATTTGCCTGGGAGCCCGAGAGTTCTGTGCAGTGTCTTTGCTGTTCTGGACTGAGATGTCCGTTGGTTTTCCCAGTATCTGTTGTAGCCTCTTCCAGTTTGGGGGTTACGGCCCTAAGTGCTCCGATCACCACAGGCACCACTGATGCCTTCACTTTCCAGGTTCTCTCCAGTTTGGCAGTTAGCTTGGACTGTAGGTATCTTAATAACCATTTCTCCCACATCCTGTTCATGTAACCCCTCTGACTCAGGTTACTTATACATATATATATATCTTTTTATATATACACACACGCACACCCCCCCCACACACACACACACGTGTGTGGGCGTGC